TTACAAATGTATTAAAAAATTATATTATACTTTAATTTTTATATCTTAGGGTGTTCAGATAGGGACGCTCGATGTTTGAACGGCGCGCGCGCCCAAACCGGTGGGGATACAGCTGTCAAATTTTGTGAGGTTATTAAGTTAGTCTTGACATTTAATCATGGAGCAGTACACGATTCAACAACGCGTGGAAATTGTGAAAATTTATCATCAAAACAGATGTTCGGTTCGTGAAACGTTCCGCGCATTGCGTCCAATTTATGGTGCGCATGGCCGTCCTGCTGAGTCCACTATTCGACGTCTGCTCAATAAATTTGAGAGAACTGGCTCAGTGGCAGACCAAACAACACCCGTACGGCAACGAACAGTAAGAACAATCGAGAATATTGCTGCTGTGCGAGAGAGCGTGCGTCAAGACCCGAATCAGTCGTTGCGGCGACGTGCACAAGAACTTGCCCTTCCAAAGACCTCAACATGGACAATTATGCGTCGAGACTTGAAATTGCACGCGTACAAAATTCAATTGACGCAAGAATTGAAACCGCAAGACCATGGACAGCGCCGTACATTTGCCGCATGGGCTCTAGAGCAGTTGCAAGTCGACCCTGCATTTGCACGAAAAATCATCTTCAGCGACGAGGCGCATTTCTGGATGAATGGGTATGTCAATAAACAGAATTGCCGTATATGGGCTGACCAAAATCCTGAAGTGACTTGCTCAATTGCTATGCATCCTGCTAAAGTGACTGTATGGTGCGGTTTCTGGGCTGGCGGCGTAATCGGTCCATATTTTTTTGAGGACGCTATGGGCAACGCGCTTACGGTCAATGGAGATCGGTATCGCGCCATGATTAATGATTTCCTGTGGCCTCAACTGGACGATATGGATCTAACAGACATCTGGTTCCAGCAGGACGGCGCTACGTGCCACACCGCACGCGCAACGCTGGATTTACTGCATGAAAAGTTCAACGGTTTCATTATTTCGCGCGGCGGCGATGTGCACTGGCCACCAAGATCGTGCGATATAACGCCTTTAGACTTTTTCATGTGGGGCTACGTGAAGTCTCAAGTGTATGCGGATAAGCCACAAACAATTGCAGCATTAAGGGCCAACATCATTCGCGTCCTCGGACAGGTAGACGCTGAAATGTGCGGAAAAGTGCTCGAAAATTGAACCATGCGAATGCACGCTGTACAGCGCAGTCGCGGTGGCCATTTAAACGATATAATCTTCCATACATAATGTCGTCGAATGCTATTTACGATCAATATAGACTTTTAGTGCTGACTTAATTTTTTTTCCTTTTTTTTTCCATTTTAACTTTCGAGCGTCCTTATCTGAACACCCAACTTTCGAGCGTCCTTATCTGAACACCCTTTATTACATTTTCAAATGGAGAGAAAACTATCAAGACAGACAATGAATAACTCTGGTTTCTCGAAGCTTAACTCTCGAACTCTCGAACGTTGAAAAAAAAGTTGTAGGGTTTTTTCACCATCGACAGAACCTAAAAGTTTATTCACATGCCTATCACTAATACATGTGACATTATACGAAGTCTAATAAATCATTAAATAAATTAAATTTTCAGCGTGTTTCCCACGCAATGGGCATTAGTATGCGGACGGTGTCACGTATTTTCAGAGAATCAAAAGAAAACCGAAAGCCCGTAGACCAGGAAGATCAAGCTGCCTCCAAAACAAAAAAATATAAGCCCCGGGAAAAAACAAAAACAGCAGACTTACCAGACGCTGTGAAGATGGAAGTGAAAAATGCAATTTACAACATGTACTCAGAAAGTACGTATTTTTGTCTCCATTAATACGATTTATTTATGTATTAATACTCACAGAGAGGCATGTTACTATCAAAACATTAAAGGAAGAATTGGACGTCAAACAAATAGTGGACATAAGCAAGATGTCATTGTGCCGCTTATTAGCTTCCAATATAAACAGGAAGGCGCTTATGGAGAAAAGCAGTGTCGTTCCTTTGAGAGCAGAATTTCTGCGCAAATATAATGAAAATGGAAACTCCCCCTTTAAACGCACAGTTGTTTTCTTAGATGAGACATGGATTTTTGCAAAAGGGAACAGGAAGAGATCCTGGCAGGACGGATCCGTAAAAGGGACCCGAAAACCTGGGGGATTTGAAGGCAAACGCTATATTGTATTACATGCTGGTCACAGTGGGGGGTTCGTGGGGAATGCTTCACTCATCTATGGCACTGCCTCAAAACTGGCAGATTATCATGGAGACATGAATGGCGATATATTTTTGAAGTGGGTCAAAGAGAAGCTGGTTCCAAATTTGGAGGAGCCATGCCTCATTGTTATGGATAATGCTTCCTACCACAGTGTATTAGTGGAGAAGCAGCCTATATCATCTTGGACAAAAGCCCAGGTCATACAGTGGTTGGAGGGAAACAACATTAATTTTGAGAGGAACCAATTTAAAAGTGAACTCTTAAAATTGGCCAAGCAACATGGCCTGCAAGATTTGTTGTTGATGAATACCTACGAGAACATGGGCATGAGGTACTGCGACTACCGCCATACCACTGCCAGTTCAATGCCATCGAACTGATATGGGCACAGGCAAAACAATATTATGATACCCATATAGGCGAGGAAGGTTATGGCGCTGACAAAGTGCTAGGCATGTGGCAGAAGGCATTGGAAAACTGTACTCCTGAAAGATGGGCCTCTGTTGTCACACACACGGAGGGAGTTATAGATGCATGGTATAACAGACAACGAATCCTGGATAATGTGCCAGAAGTGATTATTACAATCAATGGAGACGACAGCAGTTCAGATGAGGATTTTTAAGACAGCGATATTTATTTCGGTCAAATCTACCCATGAAAGCTTGAAGGAATTGTTGTGTGATAGAGCCTGGTAATTCATCGTAACTTTGTGTTCATATACGCTATCTACCAGTACAAATAAAAAAATCTATTAATTACCTTATATGTTCGAGTATGTTTAATTTTAGAACTTAAAACTGAAATTTCAATATTTTTCTCAATGTTATGCTTTTTCAGAAAATATTCTGTTTTTCTTCATTTCCTGCAAAATTGAAATATGTTCCTTAAATCGCGCATTCAAATAACAATAAATCAAGACTTGCCGTTTTGTGCAGCAAATATTTTCGAAATATACAGAAAATACTTTTTGCCGCCTGACACAGTACATTTTTACTACTAAAAATCTCTTCCCGGGGGCACGCCTATGGATATTCGCCTATGGTAGAAAGTGCCTACTTCAAAACTATTTGCTCGGAAATGTACAAATGATGACGTGTACGCCAACATTCATGGTACGGACTATATGACATTCGTGCACAATCTGGCAACCATGCTGCAGCTAGAAAAAAATTGCGGCTTGACACTGACATAAGTCATTAATAGCATGGGACTGTACCTTCTTCAGTGTAGATGTTTTGATTTTCGCAGACTGTACATACCGCCTTCATTAAATAGAAGCCGAAACCAATGTTTTAAAATAATGATTTTTAACAAAGTTTTTAATAACTGAAAATGACCATTTTTAGGGTTCTTCAGAGATTAAATGGCTTATATCTGGAAAACGACTAACTTTAGAGAAAAGCTACTAAACACCCTTCAAGTTCAGAATGATCAGAAAATGGTCGGAGCGAAAAAACTTTTTTGTAATTAAAAGGGGAGGGACTTAGAAAAAGTGAACCAAAAACATCCAAATTATTATTATTCTTTGACCTCTTCTAAGTTGATAAAGTGGGTTCCTCACATTTTGCAAGTTCAAGCGCCTTATCTAATAGGAAAATGTGAGCACTGTCTACTAAATTTCAGAGGAAATGATAGAAAATGATAAATTTTTCTAACATGAATCATAAATGTATAATCTACTTATACAAACTGGAAAATAAGTAATTACCTGACTATAAAAGATCATCTATAGCAAAATCCCAGTTCAAGAAATTTAGTAGTTAACTTGATAGTTCTTTATTATTGGTGGTTCGAATATTCCAGGAAAACTGAGTAATTACATTTTCAAAAAATTTCTAATCACTGAGATGTTCATAAGATTCTACCTCTCGCATTTATCTGTAACAACCCATTCCTTGATGATATATATTTGAAGATGGTATAAAAAATGATCTGATTAAAGAAAAAATATTATTACATTTTAGCATAAATAACTTATTCTAACAACAGAATGTCCAAGCATTTTTAAATCAGCATTTATTGTTAATTCTCGGATTACCCCATAAATATAAATACTGATAAATCACAGGCAAGAACAAATTCATTTCAATGAATATTCCACATTTGAATAAAAAATCAGTACAACAAATTCAACTCAATCTTCGAACAGATTTGATATACAACCTAGACGAAACAAATCTGTATTAAAAAGTTGTATCATAAAAAGAAATAAGATTTGAGATAGAAATCGTAATAACCATATGTATTTGATGGTGCTAGGATTCAATAACTATCTGATAGTTCTTAAGTCTGCAACCTATAAAAAAGTTGGCATCCTTGATCATCTTTGCATATCTCTTGTTTATGCAGAACATCCACAAATTTTTGCAGAATATTTATACCCATTACCGTATAAGTACGTATAAACTATTGGCGGTCAGGTTTATGACAATAGCCTTGTTTGGGTTCTACAGAGAACTATTCAAAAACCGTTATGATTCTGTGCCGTAGGTTCTCGTACTGTCAGAACTGCTTTGTGATTGGCTACTGGCAGATTTAGAATAGTCCTGATATACAGGGTTCCTTCAATAAGTATTGGTTCGCTGTAGCCTCAACGGAGCGGTGGAGGGGTGCCCCACCACTCAGGCGCACTTTAATTCAGTCGCGTGCGGGATTTTTGTGACGTGTGATTCTTTGTGGTGTCGTCGCGCCAGCTCATGGAGCGCACCGTCGAGCAACGCTACGCTGTGAAGTTTTGCTTTAAACTCGGGAAATCCTCTCTAGCCGCACAAGAGTTTTTAGTAGCACAAAATGTTTAAGGAAGACCGAAAGCACGTCAAAGACGAGCACCGCGTTTTGGACTGTGAGAGGCGTTTAAGCCCAGACCTAGCACCAGCTGACTTTTTCTTGTTTCCGCGAATAAAAAGGGTTCTCAAAGGAGATCGGTTTGGCTCTATCGAGGCAGTTCAAGCGGCGACGACAAAGACTCTCAACAGTATTCCGGAAACCGACTTCCAGCGGTCTTTTGACGGTTGGCAGCAATTTATGGATGAAGGAAAAATGTATTTTGAAGATTATTAAGTATTCTAATGATACCTGTGATAAATTTTGTTTTTTGGAACCAATCCCGATACTTATTGAAGCACCCCTGGAAAACCCGAACAAGGTCGATATTTTTCATAGGTGTAGTTCCAAGAGCCACGATGTCTCAATATTCTAACAATTTCACCATTCAATCATCTTTATCACCCCAGCTGAAAATATAATTTTGACGAATGGATTCCTTGTGAAATTTCCGTATGTGTGTGGACAAGGTGAAAATAAATTATTTAGCTGAAATTATTCAAAACTTATTTTCACTATTGGCGTATAAATTCAGCAAACAATGAATTAGCTCTAAACACAATAGTTGCAATTTTTTCTGAGCTCTGAAGCACGAATTTTAAATTCTCTCCGATTACCTGTCGCCCGAACTCTCGGCATTATACATTACATTTTTTCGTGTTTTTTTATATTCCAACTACCACGAAGGACTAATGCCTAAACACCCATGGGTACCGTGGGGCTATAGGATAATCACAACATCCATAGCCAAGAGAAAAATTTCTCTTGGGACGGGATTCGAACCCGCACGGCGACTGATCAGGGGACCGAAGAGTCTACTACTGCGGCCCTGCTCTGGGAGGACGGATGTTTCCTTTGCACGTACAAGAATTTTTGCAGCTTCTTTTGGAAAACTAAAGAAACACATCGGACTTAGTCTCAGTTTTCTTGTCAAAACCACCAGAGAAATATTCTGAAATTAAATCTTGTTTAACACAGGCATTATTGAGGCAGGATATGTTTCTACCAAAACTTCAGGGTCAATTAGCAGCCGCTATGAGTGCCTTAGCTGTTCCTTTAAATACCATTTATGATGAACTAAAGAAATCCGACACGCCACCATCTGCTCATGAGGAGTTCGGGGATTCAATGAAGCTCGTGGCCGACGCTTTCCATTCTCTCTCAAAGCATAGACGCTATTTAATTGTTCCATGCTTAGATGGATAAATTAGAGACTTGTTCCATACGTTCTTTCCCTCTTGGACAGAATTACGCAGAAAAACTACAATTTTCTTCTGAAGCAAAGAAGTTTGGCGCGTCTGTTAAAAAGAATTTTAAGATTCCACGTACAGTAACCACAGCTTCCACTTCGTCTCGTCTCCCTTCATCATCAAAACATGTTGCCGGAACTTCAAGACGAGGTTCACAGTTTTTTCACCATCGCCAAGATTTGAAACCTCTATACAAAAGGGAAGGGAAACACAAGCCACTGAAACGGCAATACCAACACCAGAGGAGGACCATAAAGCAGTTACAGGTGACTGCCGGTCGTTTATTTCAGTATATAGATCAGTGGTCGCTGCTTACTTGTGACAAAGCTATACTCCAGTGTCTAGCAGGTTACAAACTGCCTTCTATAAAAAAAAACCAGTTCAATCACACCTACCAGATCCAGGTTCAAACCCAAGTAACAAAAGAGTAGGAAGAATCGCTATAGCTGCAATCTCCGCTACAAGCCCACCAGTTTATTTCCTCAAACCTAAACCAGATGGCAGTTTTAGATCTATCTTAAATCTAAAAACATTAAATACCTTCTTGAGGCCCTCCCATTTCAAGATGGAGGGATAAGGGACAGTATTACAATTAGTTTTTACTACGATAGACCTCAAGGACGCATATTTTTTAATTTCAACTCATTCGAAACATAGAAAATATCCGTCTTTTACTTATAATAAAATATATTACAGATTTTACTGTCTTTCATTTCGACTCGGTACTGCTCCCTACATTTTCACAAAAATGTTTAAACCAGTCTTACCGTATCGAAGCCACGGTATTGTATGCGTCGATTATCTCGATGATATAATTATCATTAGTAAGTCAGAACAAGCAGCAATCACTGATTCCCAGTTTACTAAATATACAGCAGACGCTCGATAACGTAAACACGGGATAATGAAAACTTGCGCTAATGTAAACACAAACTTCCTTCTATAGGATCAGACGGAACGCGCGATAACGTAAACAATGTGTAAGCTCGATAACGTAAACAACTCTCGGCGCACGGAAACAGCGCGACGGTAAAATGCTGAAGCCTCGATGATTTATGTCGGGCGTCGGGGAGTCCCCGATTTATGATGTAGAGTGTAGGGGATTCACCTCTGCGATAAAATACGACAAACTCGGTTAGTCGTATGATCGTTTAGGATACGTTTATACGTACGTATGTATTTCATTTTTGAACTTAAGTGAATACATTGCACGCGTTAATATATTTTACGACTATGGCATCCACATCCTATAAAAGAAAGTGTTTAAAGTTGAGTGAGAAAGTGTAAATCATAGACGAAGTTGCACTAGGTGCGGGAGTGACACAGTTAGCAAAAACATATGGAGTATCGAAAGCAACAATCTGTAAAATTAAGCGTATGAAAACTCAAATTTTACAAAGAACGTGAATACATTTGGAGGTCGGGGAAAAAGAAAAACTTTAAAAAATGCGAAGGCACCTAAAATGGAAAATTCCCTGAATAAGGGAAAATCGGGAAAATCATGTCCCAGTTAGTGGCGAAGTACTTAAACAGAGAAAAACTGAAAAAAACTGAAAATTTCGTAGCTAGTGATGGCTGGCTACAACGATTCAAAACAAGATATGGAATTCGACTGCTGTCTATATCTGGTGAAAAATTATCAGCACAACCACAATTACTGCAACCATTCAAAGAAAAATTGATGAAAACAATTACCGAGCTAGATTTAAGAATGGAACAAATTTACAACGTAGATGAAAATGGCCTTTACTGGAAAATGTTACCAGAGAAAACCTATGCTGCATCATTTGAAAAATCAGCCCCGGGAAAAAAGCCGGAGAAACAACGAGTAACGTTTCTAGCCTGCACTAATGCTAATGGTTCACACAAAATAAAGCCACTGGTAATTGGGAAAGCAAAAAATCCGCGCTCATTTAAAAATGTTAATATCCCTGTTGATTATGACTGTTCAAAAACCGCTTGGATGACTAGCAGTATATTCCTGAAATGGTTCCACAGGTGCTTTGTCCCTCAGATATGACAATCAATTATCACAAATGCTCTATTCATACTTTGAAGATGTGTTTTCAATTTGTAGGTAAAAGGTTTCCTAAAACAACAGAAGCTTCCAGTAAAAGCGTATTTTACTGTTGGATAATGCACCAAGTCATCCTCCCGAGCAACAACTGAGGAGCAGGGATGGGTCAATTTTCGTCATGTACATGCCGCCCAACGTAACACCGTTAATTCAACCGATGGACCAGAATATAATAAGACTCACCAAACTATACTATAGGAAGTTTCTACTTTCGTCTGTCTTATCAAAGAATCCTGAAAACTTATCTGAGGCTTTAAAAAAAGTAACATTACGAGAAGCTGTTTTAGATTTACATATGGCCTGGAATGAACTTAACTAGCAAACTATTCAAAAATGTTGGAACAATCTATTTTTTACCAATAATGAAGATAATGAAGAAGACGATGTCCCTTAAGCGTAATTAGAGAACGTTTGCGATCCAATAATGATAATGTTATTAGTGTGTCATTGGATGTTGTTGATTTATTGAAAACAGTGAATTCCAACATTGTTTGTACTCCTGCTGATATTAATTTATGGAACGAAGATAAGCAGACGAATGATGCTGATAAGGAGGAGGATATGGACAGTGAGGATGATGAGAACGATCCCATTGAAGTCAGAAGTGTAGTGACTGACGCGCAAGCTATACAAGTTTTTAACCAAGCTTTAGATTGGGCTGAAAGAAAAGAAGTTTCATACACGGATATTTTAGTTCTTCGTAGATTACGGGCGCAGGCATTGGAAGACAATGCTAAGCGCAAATTTACGCAGACAAAAATTGTTAATTATTTTTCGTCTAATTAAAAACATACTTATCGCTGTTAGAATATTTGTTTATTTTGTTATAAATAGTATGTATTAAACGTTTCTTTTAATAAATCAAATATCATATAAATCACGTAAATATTTCGATAATGTGAACCACACTTGGATTAAATTAGTTTACATTCTCGAGCGTCTGCTGTATTTGTTTTAAGCTCAAAAAAAATTGCAACTACAAGTGTAATTATTGTAATTTGAGAACGGCAATACGAAATATAAGTACAAATTATCTGAATGTTTTTGGACAAACACCTGCTTTCTGCGAACAAGGATATGTTGCAATTTTCCTTAATAGTTGGTTGATAACAGGTTTTTCTCATCAGAATCCACCCGTACAAAACTTCTAACATCACATCACACAATCTCATTCACACTCAGCGGTTATCCTGCACAGTTACCCTTGATCGTCCAGTTTGACAGTCTCGATTTCCCCCTCCTCCTACCTTTCCTTATACCATTTTCCCCTGGGCTTCCGCAGAGCTCTCGGAGATTTTGGAGACCCTGGTATGTGTCTGCGGTTGGGTTTCTTTTGTTTTGGTGTTGCAGCTTTCGGGCTACTTTGTACCTAGAAGCAAATTCAAAATTGATAAAATTGTCTACAACAATTAACCCGCGATCACTAGCGCTGTTAGATTTTGTCTAACATTTTAACATTTTCCTTCAGTAAAAGACCAAGAATGGTAGTGCGGCAATGTCGTTCATGTTTTTTGCGAAGTTATTAAAAAATATCTAACTACACGAGTGATCTTGTTGAAAGTACTTGAAGTTCCATTTTCTCAAAATGTCATATGAAAAGGAACAGCAAAGATTGTGGGCACTTTGGGAAGAACTGGAAAAAGAATATGCATTGTCTGCAGTAGAGTGTGATGTCTCAGATGAAGATGCACCGTCTGAACACAGCGACCATGATACGCACACCGAGAAATCCGATGTCGAGGACCTCCAACCTCAAGAGACTGAAACAGTGACTCACAATAAACTATATTACATTGGGAAAGATGGTGTAACAAAGTGGTTTCAGCATAAAGACATTATCCGAAGTAAAACGCGTTCGAAAAACATTGTAACAAAATTACCGGGAGAGAAAAATGCTGCCAAAAATGTTAAAACATATATGGATTGCTGGAAATTGTTTTTTCCAGATGAAATTTTTTACCTTATCGTGGAATGTACAAATCTACAGCTTGACCTCATGAGACCTAAATATCAACGTGAGAGAGATTGTTTGCCTACTGACTTTGAAGAAATGCACGCTTTTCTGGGGGTTTTGTACTTAGCTGGAGTCAAAAAATCTCAACATTTGAATACAAACGAGCTATGGCTGACAGATGGAACAGCACCAGAGTTTTTTTCAGCAGTTATGTCCAAGAACCGGTTTCACTTGCTAGTAAAAGCTATTAGATTTGACCATAAGACAAGCAGGCAGGAACGACTAAAAGAGGACAACCTGGCTCCACTGCGCTACATCTTTGATCATTTTGTTGAAAAATGTGTGCAGTACTACTCCGTTGGGGAATACATTACCATAGACGAAATGCTGCAATATATTGCCAATAAACTCGCGAAGTATGGTATCAAAATATATGCGGCAGTAGATGCAAAAACATTTTATACACACAATTTGGAGGTATATGCTGGAAAGCAACCCAATGGCCAGTTTCAATTACCTAATGATGCTGCAAGTGTCGTAAAACGTCTTCTCAGGCATTGCAGTGGAAGCGGGCGAAATGTAACAGTCGACAATTACTTTACTTCGATACCGCTGGCGAATGATCTATATCAGATTCACAGATTGACATTAGTAGGAACGCTGAGGAAAAACAAAAGAGAAATCCCGACTTTGTTTCTAAATACCAAATTTCGTAAACCTAAAAGTAGTATGTTTGCATATGGAAAAGACCCAAATCAATGCATGCTTACATCATACATACCCAGGCGTGGTAAAAATGTTTTGATGTTATCCACATTCCACGATAACGACGAAATTGATATTGAATCTGGTGACGAACATAAGCCTTCGGTTATTACATTTTATAACCTTACAAAGGGCGCAGTGGACGTTGTAGACAGAATGAAAACAGAATATTCCATCACAAAGATAAGCAACAGGTGGCCACTCACTGTCTTTTGCTCAATGTTGAACATTGGAGGGATAAATTGCAGGATTATTTATACCAGCAACAGCGGAGATAATGCGCCTCGAAGACAATTACTTAGCGAATTAGCAAAACAGCTTGCTAAACCTCATTTATTCAAGCGTGCTAGAATTCAACACTTTTCAATTCCCTTGAAGCAAAAAATTCGAAATGTCCTTGGTCATGAAGCACCTTCAGCAGAACGAGCCAACGAGAAACGAATTGGTACCCAGCGAGAGCCTAGATGCTCTTTTTGTCCAATTAGGAAAAATAGATTTACAAATTACCAATGTGATGTATGCGCCAAACCCATTTATAAGGAACATACTATAAAAACTACAATTTTATGCCAGGACTGCGTTATACAAGAAGACGAGTAGATTGAATGCACTATTTGATCGCTTTTTGACTACGATTTTGTTCATTTATTTTTTTTTAAGACAGTTTTCATTGTTTAATGCTACCTTTCATCGGCGCAAATGCAATGTTTTGTTTATTTCACAAACGTACTTTGTTTTTTCAATAAATATTAATAATAAATACTACACTGTATTTTATTTCTATATAAAATTATCCAATCATATGTTAGATTAAATCTAACACGCGAGTAACGACGTAATAATTAACCGCGCGAGTGATCGCGGGTTAAACCTATAATCCATTGTGACAATGGATAATTAGGCGTCAGCACACAAAAACCTGTAACCAGACGCTATAATATAAAATTGAAATCCAAAAATGTTGTAGATATACATGCGCACAGTTAAAATAAAGCAGATCTCTTTTCTTTAAATAAAATAAAACAATATTGATATTATTTTAATGCGATTTTTAACCTTGTCTACTAGGCCAAAATGGTGAACTTTTGGTCTAGGCAGACTCTACATCACTGATTTTTGCAAATTATGACGTATAAACTTTGCAGTGGACTCTCAAGGTCAGGTTCAAAGCGGATGCAAAATTTCCTTAAAATCACTTACTTTACTGTTCTCCAACTTTCGCACGAAGACGTATGGCTGCATATGTATCTCGGGTGACGTACTGCCGTTGGTCAATTTGTTGTTTTTCGACTGCGGCGGCCGTTTGGCCGTCGTCCTATTGTTAACCTTGATGTTCTTTTTCGGCGTTTGTACGGCAGGTTTCGGAAGCGGAACTGCAGCAGCGGGCTCTTCCTCTGAAAAGTCCTTGACACTGCCAGAATCAGCCGTGCTGTTGTCGTCCTTGCTTTTGCCGGGTTTAGACCTGAAAGCGAGGACAGTGCCAGGTAGATTGTGAGATTATAATTAGTCATTCAAACAAAATCAAGAATGGCCAGATAGGTTATGTTCCTATACGTATAGTTTCAGGATGTTACGGACACTAACCGCCTCGCGCTTTTAGGAACGTTTTAGTCAATCTAAATGGCACTGTTATAAAGTTCATTACCAAAACTGTTGACGCAAGGCTTTGTTGTCACGTGATCATCTGGAAACTCATAGAATTCATCTAAAAGAGTCATATGAATAAGCTGGGAATGACCGTTTCAGTAAAATTTTATTTTTATATTTATTAAAATGCATATTATGCATTTTCAAACCTCCATCCAACGTTGAAAACACAAATTAAACCTTCAATTTAATTGAAACAACACACAAATCCAGCTTACCGGCTTTAGCGCTGTACTGTCGTTAGACGCGCACAATAGCAACAACAGTGTGATTTAAAAAAAAACACACCGATAATATGGTTTCATGGTTTACTATCGCGAAGGGCAAACAATAGTATAAATTTTAAAATGGGAATAGCTCCTTAAGAGGCGGCAACATCGTTATACGAGCTCCTTCCCACTTCAGTTGGTCCAACTATTGAAATCTTAGTTTTTTCTTTTCAAACACAAATAATAAAAATGTAGCAGGGTGTTATAGGTTTAAAGTATTAACAATGAATATTTTGATAATATATAGTAGAAAACACCAACTTTATCACTCCCTAATCAAATTTGCAGCATAAAAATAACACATGTTGCAATTACAGCATATCAACCTATTTTCATTTTAATGCAAAATAAGTCTATAACACATAGATGGCTGTGAAAAATAAAAGCCATGGCAATTGTTTTTATTAATCACAGCTGTCAGAATACGTTTAAAATAGTTTTGGGTAGTAAAGGTTTTCAAAATGGGTAAAGGAAAGGTTATTAGTGAGAAAATTCGGTTACTGATAATAAAATTTGTTAACTCTGGGAAATCAAACTCAGAAATTGCAACTTTGTTAGACTTATCGCGGTACAGTGTGAGAAATATTGTTAGAAGATATAACGTAACTGGTTCAGTTAATATTAAGCCACGATATGTGAAAAAAAGTAATATTACAAATGCCGACCGAAGAGCATTAAGAAGAATAATCGTGAAAAACAGGCGTGCCAATTATTTACAATTAAGTGCTCTGTGGAGTGACGCTGTTGGAACGAGACTTTCGACAACTCATAGAGAGGTCCACAAACTGGGATTTAGCACTTGCAAGGTACGTTTTCTTATAAAAAAAAGTGAAGTAAAAACCCTAAAGTTGCACAACTTGTTTATAGGCCAAATAAAAGCCACTATTAACTCCATTGCAAAAGAAAAATCGGCTTAGATGGGCCAAAGAACATAGACAATGGACACCTCAACAATGGTGTGCAATACAATGGAGTGATGAGGCCGGATGCAAAGTTTGTGTTGGCGACAGTCGCAGTAGAGTTATTCGCAAAAAAAATGAAGCATTCCATGTTGACTGTCTGAAGAGAAAAGTGAAATTTCCAGCACCAATTATGGTCTGGGGCAGTATGTCATCAAAAGGAGTAGGAAAATTTCATTTTATTGATGGAAATGTGGATACAAACAAATATTTGGCAATTTTATAAAAAACGCTTTTACCAGTGATGGAAGAATGTTTGGCATCCGGCCAAGATTTTGTGTTTCAGCAAGATGGTGCAGCGTGCCATACTTCAAAAAAGGCTATAAAATAATGTACCACTTTTGAAATGGGTTTCTAGCAGTCCAGATCTTTCACCTATTGAACTTTGTGGCACGAGATGAAAAAGGTTCTACGACAACATCCTGCTCGTACAATCACCGAACTGAGACAAAAGCTTCAAGAAATATGGGATTGCTTTACACCAAACTTTTGCCAAAACTTGGTTAACACAATGCCCCAAATAATTTCAGCCGTAATGAAAAATTAAGGTGATGTTACCCAATGGTAATCTTTCAATTGTTGCTTTGTTAACTTCGCGCATTTATTCGCACATTGTTTATTTATTCAGATGTTCTATTAGTTATAGGTCTAAGTGATTTCAAATATGTATTTTTTACGACTAGAGTGTATCTAAAATGTTATTGAGAAAATAAATTGTTTTAGAAGTAAATAGTTTCGTCATGTTTAGTTTATAAAGACACATTTTGGTACAAATCTTGAAGTGGGCCAACTGAAGTGGGAAGGGGCTCGTACAATCTGCCGACGTACAAAGGAATCACACGTGCATCGTTTTCTACCCATTTTCTTCAGTCAGCTGCGGCGCGGATAACGGAAAGGAGATGAGTTGGGAACTGTTGAAAACTCAAAATTTGAAAAACGAAAATGGCCACTAAGGTGGCCGAAACGTTAGTAAAAAGCCATTCCAACATATGTGTTTTCACCTTGTGGTCAGAAAAATATACCTTATATACCTTTTGATTTTATTTGGCCACCCCGTCAAGTTCATCCTCCTTTTCTTACTATGTTTCTTCCCAGGTGGCACCAAAGGTTGGTTATTGTTGAAAAACTTTCTACAACTTCTAACAGTCTCCTTTTTCTTCTCCTCCTCATACAATTGCATTATTTCCGTAATATTTATCCTACACGCGTGGAAATCCACTCCAAAATCTTTTTCTTCTTCTTGTAATTGACCTAGTCGCTCTAAATCAGCCTAAACGAATAAAAAAAATTAAAATAATATCAGATAGTTGTTAGTGCTACAGAAATTACGTGTTATTTTTGACAGCGACAGCAAATAACGAATGCCGACGAAAAAAAAAAGAGTTTTCATGACCACAGTGAATCGTGGTAATTCGACAGTAGTGAAGCTAAGGGGTCATGCAAGTATTATTTAAGCAGATTTTTTACAATTCTCACTCCCCCCCTACCCATGTCAGCAAAAGTAAGCAAATCTCTTACCTCCCCCTTATATGCTTACGTAAACATTTTGAATTTTACGCGCAATATCATTTAATGCCTGGAAAATGAAGAAGATGTGGCTCGCCCAATCCCACATACTTTGCAGTAACATGAAAACCGTCAATTTCCATTGCATTCCATACCTCTGATAATACATTTCCGAAATAGGATTTTTCTAAATGTTCGTTCATTGTAACGCTGCGTCTATTCAAAAGAAACCCAAAATGGTCATGAACTAGTATCAAACTAGCCAGTTCTCGATAAGGGGGACACATTCTGCACTCTACAAATTTATACCATCAGCATTTGTAGCTAAAGTTCTAAGTGAGTAAGCATATTTTATCCATATTTGGGGAATCTCTGAAGGTTGCCATATGTGTTCAAACCAAAATCAACTAATTTTTGTAGAAAATCCGAAACATTTAAAAAATAAATATTGCTGACGTAATCACCGTCCAGACCCCTCATCCCCGATGACATCAAGAATAAGCTAAGCGAATACCCTCCCGCCCCCTTTAAGGCTTACGTAATACTTGAATGAGTTTGTTTTCTTCCTCATCAATACACCCTCTGTTCTGCTTTCAACTCTGATACTAAAAAAGACGACTATTCTCCTGAAACAAGGACATCTGGAAACCCTAATAAAAGGTATCTATTATGTATAAAATATCGTCTGAACTGATGAAAACAGAAGTGTATCCCTCATTATTTGGAATAATTGTTAGAAAACTCATACAGGGTGTTTCAGTTTATTGTTGCATAACTTTAAGATTCGATAGAACTTTTAAAATTAATGCATAAAGTCTATATAAACATGGGTCGAAAAATGCGTGGCTTTCGAAATACAGGGTGTTTAAATTTACTTTCTAAAATAGTTTTTTTTAAATATTTCGAACAATATTTGATGTATAACAGTGAAAATTGGTATACAAGGGTTTTTTGGTACGACAAAACGAACCATGGGCATAGTTTTACTGTAGCCGCTAGAGGGCGCTCTCTACTGTACCTGTAGTGTATTAAAATGACCGAAAATTTTTTCTTAGTGCAATTTTTTGCTTTTTGAATAAAAATACTGATTCTTCGCACTTTTCAACATAAAAAAGCTCTCCTGTGAGTTTTCGTTATAGTTAGCCGTTTTTGAGATATTTCGATTTTTAAGGTTCGATGCATTTTTAATTATTTATGATAAAATAATGTTAAAAAGTCAGTATCTCGATAATTTTTAGAAGTAGGCTGTGCCTGCAAATATTTTTGAAATTGAAAGCAGAATAAGGTTAAACGTCAATTAGTTGGCAGTTAGTTTTGTTGTCTGTTGAAACCTGAAACGTTTTTTTGCAATTGTGAATGCACGAAATTTAGTTTCTTTTACCTGTTTTTTTTGTAAGTTTTATAAAAATGCAATTTTTTATATAGACTTTATGCATTAATTTTAAAAGTTCTATCGAATCTTAAAGTTATGCAACAATAAACTGAAACACCCTGTATAATAACTGCATATACCATGTCAGTGAACAGTTTTACTTCACCATCTCAAGGCCAAACTGTTGTCTTATATCATTTTCTCACTGTACAAACAACATGTTCCCTTTGAATGTCGAAGTACTATTTCTCGGATTTCAGGTCCATAAACAATGTATCTGCATCGTTTTAGATTGCACAATTAAATGGGTGACGTATCTGGTACTTGAAAAAAAAAACGACAGATAACCTCATGCTCGCTTGTCGTTTTGGATGTCCTTTTTTGGGAGTGGGAAAGCCTACCCACAAGCCGTGGTGGTTTTGCATGGCGCCTCTTACAATTTGGAATGATGGGGATTATAAAAAATACTTAATTGTGATTTGCGGAAAACAAATATGACACGTCAGCTGAGTAGCTTCGCCAATCCTGATACTGCCGACTCCTACGTATGATAGCAGAAAACTAGTTTTCCAGCGCCTCTGAATACCCGAATCCGTGTCTAAGAAGCCGGACAAGATCGGACCACCACCACATAGGCGTTTAAAGATCGATCGACATCTAGACTTAACGCGACATTGTTTGGGAATACTTCAGAAACATTGATTTTCCAGAAAAAGTACAAATAATTTATTAACAAAAAAACAGCATTTAATACGTCTCATTTACCTCTAGCATTGCCAAGTTCTCGTCCTTAAGAGCGGTGTCTAGTTCATCGTCTATACTTTGAGCTATAGAGAAATAGTCAATTTTCGGTTTTGCTTGTTTACGAGGAGTCCTTGGTGGGGTTTTGGTCGGTACAGAAGAGCTTTGAGCTTCAACCTGGACCGGTACTTCCTGAGACGGAGTTTCTGTTGGTGGTTCTGCCTTGGGAGTTTCTGAAAAGACAAAAAGTTCGTCTATTCAGATTGTCCGAAATATACGGAAAACCAAGTATTTTTCTTATCCCAAATTAAGATATGGGTTAAATAGAAGAGAACCAAATACCGTTTCCTGTGGAACACCATACATATGAGATACAACAGTTTACGCGTAATTCATCATCAAGAATTGTGGTGTTCCTCTAAAACCCAGTATCTCTATAACTCCCATCTACAATTCACTTAAACTTAGCAAAGCTTCAATGATCTATCGATATGTGGTCCAGAAAACAATGTGGTCTAGAAAACAACAGCAAGCTAATAACCATAATTGTATAAAATGTCGAACCTTCGGTGATTGTAGGCAGAGGAGCACTCTGCATTTCGCCGTCTCTGTTCCTCGACCTCCGTTTTCTCTGCTGTAAAAAGCTACTCAATATTGCTAAGGTCGATGCGTGTTGTCTTGGACTTTTCCTGGGATTCTTACCGCTGCTGAGATCTTGTAATAGGTCTGCATTGGTGCGCCTACTTCTTTTCTTACGTTTGCCCTAGAAGATTTTGGAGATCCAAGAATGTAGTAGGTGATAATATATTTTGCAAAAATACATCCAAACTTCTTAAAGCCGTGTTGCCAATATTTACACAAGAAACCCAAGAAGGAAGCCTGTTCAAACATTTAATTCGATATTTTGTTTTCATTTTGATTAGAATTATTTATTTCAATTTTGATGCGACTTAGTGTTTTAATATTCAATTTAGAATTAATTCAAGGAACTGGTGTAATATTGGCAACGATGAGCTTCGCTATCTAGCAGGCTTCTATCTCTTTCTAGCATATGTGCCTAAACACACTCATCTGTCATACAAATTGAACTCAAGTCGTCAGACAAATTTGGTTTTCGGTGTATGTAGCATATAAAGGAGACCAGATGATGCAACCATATCCAAGTAAACTTCTAACCGAAGTAAAATACATTTAATGATTTTGTCTTAGTAAAGATGTGCAATTTCTAACAATGAATCCAAACATACGTGAAGCTGATTTAACTAGTTGATTTAAGTGTCTTGAAAATGGCAGATCTGAAGTAATGTTTTGCTTCATATACTCTGTCAAGATTGTGATTGTCCAGTGTATAATCATATACACTGAGTGACAAAAAAGGAAGGAAGGTTTTAATAATTTTTGGGATACATATATGTTCAGTGTCCCTTACTAGTAAAATGATTAAATTTTCAGCTTGATCTGTCACCTGACTGAAGGAGCTGGTTCAAAAATAAATATGCAACTTTATTAACTTTCACTACGTACTAAATAGTGAAATATCTGAAGTGGTTCTGAAAATATTAATTAATTTCTATTATTTTCCTAAAACTTCAACACCCCGAGTTTTTGGACCATAGTTTATAAAGCAAACTAACATTAATTTTTCATGTAGATTCACACCCTTAAATATTCGCATATCATTAAGGAACACCCTGTATATAGAATGATAGAAATAAAATATCAACATACCACGGTTGTACTACTCGCCCCAGCAGCTGCGGTTGACTCCTCTTCCTGCGCGCTCTCTGTCGAACTCAACGTCGTACCGACACTCGTCTTGCTGTCCTCATCCTGCAGCGCGACAACATCGCCGGAAAACGACGCCACTGATGCCGAGCAATCGGTCGGCGCGTTCGAAGATTCGACGGCCTCCTCTGCCGCCCCCGATGGAGATGCGGAGGCGGCTTTCGCGTTCGCGACCGCCTCCTGGATGCATCGCTTGAGCTCGCGATAGTAGGCGCGGCATGCGCGCGGGTCTAGAGGGGTCAGGTACGGCATTTGGTAGGGCATTATGAATGGGTCCCAGAACGCTGGAAAGAATAGGACGTTGTTATTGCGAATTTATAATTAGACAAAAATTCGATAATCAATTACAAATTGTGAATAAATTGATATTCCACAAAAGGAAAATATCCTTATATGTGGATATCATTGTGACACAAAATACATATAACATAAGTTATAATAAACTGATAGGACTAAAAAAATCTATAGAGAAATAAAGTAAGATATACAGTAGCGGACAAAAGTTTGGAAACAAATATTAACATTATTATGAACTATTTCATATGCCTAAATTTAAATTGTGAAGGAACAAGAGAAACGAAGTAAGATATACAGTAGCGGACAAAAGTTTGAAAACAAATATTAACATTATTATGAACTATTTCATATGCCTAAATTTAAATTGTGAAGGAACAGATAACAAATATAAAAGTCAACCTTTGGTTTATCTATCTCGAATTCTCTGAAAATAAAAACATGCGTTTTTTCAAATACCACAGTTTTTGTAACGACAAAAGTGTGGAAACATTTCAGTTTTGCCGTATTTATTCGTTCTGCGATACTCTGATATTGCGTGCGGTAAATATTAACATCAGTGAGAATGACAAAAGTAAACGAATTTTCAACAGATTTAAGAGACAAAGTAATTGGATCATTTAGAAGTGGAGTCAGAAATGTTGACATTTCTCAAAGATTAAAAATGAACAAAGGGACGATTTAGAAAATTATTAGTAAATATCAAGAACACGGATCAACAGCAACGCGGCCCAGGTGCGGAAGACCGAAAAAAGCTGATTATGTTTTGGATCGCTACACATGTTTTCAAAAGAATTGTAGAAGAGGGTGTCGAGAATCTTTCTGTCAAAACAGTGCAGAGACGCTTGGTGGATTTTGAGCTTCTTGGTCGGCGTCCAGTGGCAGTGCCTCTCAATTAAAAAAGGATTGATGGCTTGAATTTGCTAAAACTAATCTAACTTGAACAGAACAACAATGGAATACAGTTTTACAGTTTGGATCTGACGGTACGGTATGTAAGACGTGCAATACGAAAAAGATTCGACAAAAAGTATCAGTTGGCAACACTTAAGCAGTGGAGGCAAAATCATGGTCTGGGGCTGTATTTCTAGTTTTGGAACGGGTCCAATTCTTAAAATTGTTAGAAAATGGATCAAAAACTTTACAGAGACATTCTTAGTGAACAGATGCTCCTTTTGCTGAAGAAGAAATGCCTTTACGATGGACATTCCAGCAAGATAATGACCCCAAGCATACCTCAAAATTCGTAAAGGACTGGTTAAGACTAAAGACTGTTAATGTTTTTACATGGCCTTCGCAATCCCCGGACCTAAACCCTATAGAACATCTCTGGGAGCATGTTAAAATACAAGAAAAACGTTTAAAAATATTTATGATTTATTTGATTATGTAAAAAATATTTGGCAATATATCCCAACAGACGTCTGAAAACATTGTTGTATCAAGAAACTTCTACAATATATGCCGAGACGATGCCAGGCGGTGATTGATAATAATGGTTATGCTACAAAATATTAACACAAACATGGTTGGTTTTCTATAATTCAATGAACTTTGCTTCTTTTTTCTATAATTGTTTTGCTTTGTCTATAAATTTTTGTCCTTCATAGTTCCAGTTTTTTACAATTATTTTTTTATTGTACGGAGTCCAATGAATTTATTTATGTATAAGTGAGTATTATGCTATAACGAATTATGTATACAGGTTGGTGTATTAATAAAACAAGTTAAAAAAGAAATACAGCACAATATTAATTTGTCTATATACTTTTGTCCATTACTGTATCCTTGCCAATTAACATGACCATTACTTTGAAGGTCATATTAAGATCAGATAAATGTTTAAGTAAAATCCTTACTTTTTGTCAAAGATTTAAAAAAACAAAACATTAAAATTTGTTTAATGTTGCATTAAAATGTTGGATTAAAAATGTTCGTCGTCAAAGCAACTGTTGCATTACTCTGAATATTGCATTTCTTTCTTTGAAACCAATCTCCTTCACACCAATGCGAAACGAAGTATACTTTACACTTCTTCCCTGCGAGCGGAGTCGCGTACGTAATAAAAAAACATTTTTTAATTATTGGTTTTAAGCGCTACTTACGGCTATCACTAAAATACGTATATTTCTGCCGTCCAGCATCCTGTCGCCTGAACGCCTCCATCACAGCACTATTTTTAGGTTCCTTTTCGAAAGAAAACTTGTAACTGTCCACTTTCACTTTGGATTCCATCGACATCTTCCCGCTTGTAGAATCCGTCGGTTTGTCGGCACCCACGTGGCTGGGTGACCTCCCGATAGACGGCAGGTAGGAACCGTGATACCGTAACCTGGAAGAACTTTTTTCTGTCAATTTTGGAAGTTCATTTAAGAGAATGTCGACGAGAAGTTTTAAAAAAATATCCAGGTGAAAAGTATTCTCTGAGAAGATCTCCAACAGTACGTTGTATTCGGATGTTCAGATTCAAGCGTCTCAGCGGTCGTATTAATTCCATTTAAAAGTCAATTAGATTATAATAATATTTTTTTTATTCACTCAATGTACAAAGATAACAAACAATATGAGTAAATAAATATAAAATCAAAACAGGCAAAATAGAAGGCATCACCTGTACATGGACCAATAATTTAAGTTGAAACTGTAGAATGCAAATGACAAAAAAGGACAAAAATTAGCTACAGTAGATTATGTATTTAGTTGATGTTCGTATTTATGAGTTTATGAATTTCAGTCCTAGATATAGAATGTAGCCACTTTTTTAAGTTTCTTTTGAAACAATTTCCGAAACGTAAATCTTTTAAGTCTTTAGGTATAATTTCATAAAATTTAGGCGCTAAATAGAGATATGATCGCTGCATTATAGATTTATGCGGTTGAGGAACTACTGTGCCACGAATTTTGTACCTGGTATAATGATTTTGTTTAATTTTTTGGTCGGTGTTTACAAATTTATGGTAATGAGTGATACTGTGTAAGAAATAAAGCTGTCTTATATCATACATTCGAACATCTGCGTATAATTTTTCAGTGGGATAAAGATTCGGTTTTTTTAAATATGATTTTTAGAATACTTTTTTGAAAAACATCTAAATTATAGATATGTGAGGAACATGCAGCTCCCCATGCTAATATACCATATGTGAGATGAGGCTCAATCAGTGCATGGTATAATGTTCGAAGATATTTTTCTGTCAATATATTCCCAAGGTATTTAATTTTGTAGGATACAAATCTAACTTTCTTTAAAATATAATTGACATGGATGTCCCATCGTAAGTGAGGATCCAAGACCACTCCAAGGTATTTTATGTTGGGCACTCTATTAATTTGCATTTTTTGATCATTAATGTTGAAGGAGAAATTTGTGTAATTTGGCAGATGTCTAGCATAAGATCCAAATGGTAAAAAATGTGTTTTAGAGTAGTTAATGCTTAATTTTCTACTGTTAAACCACCGAATAATTTTGATAAAATCATTTTCAATTACATTTTTCAGATCAGACCAGTCAGTACCTTCATATAATATTGCAGTATCATCTGCAAAACTAGTTGTTTTGCCAACACAATTAATTTGGAAAATATCATTTAAATATACAGGGTGTCCCAGAAGTCGACGTCAAGCCGAAACCGGGTGATAGGCAAAGTCATAACAGCTATCAGAAAAATATTTAAAAAAAATTTTATGTATGTGTTTTGAAAATTATAGGTCTTTGAAAAAAATATAGAAATTTCACACCCTACGGCAGTCTGTCAACTCCTGTTACTACAAATATTAACTTTTTTTGGATTTTATTTTTACAATGTAATGATGAATAATGCATCTTCAAACTGGTGTCTCAACCTTACTGCCAACTTTTCTCGTTCAGGAAAAATTGCCACTTATTTCCCAACCAAGTATTCCAAAGTAAAACTTTGCTCAACTTTAACTGCCTGTACTGGATACAAATGTACTACGAGAGTTTGGCAAGTAACCTTAAAAGTTGGCGCATTTAATAAGGATTCCAAAATGGTATAACACTTAGAAGATTACTCATTAACTTATGTACAATTTTTATTTGAAGAAAAACTGATGAAAATTTTTCAAAATTTCCTAATTAAACAGCGATTATGAAAACGCACAAGGACCATTAAGGATAACTGTTTGCACAACAGTGGGCGTCAAAATGCTGCTGATGATGATTTACCTTTACAGCAAATGCTCAAACTGTTATCCTTCAGCCGCAATACACGCTCGACATCTTAAAAAAGATCGGGTTATTAAACGAGCGAATCCACGGTTATTAACAAACTCAGCTGCTTCCAATAGTCTTTGCCGTAGCTCAGCTACATTTTGAATCGGCTTGAAATACACTTTTTCTTTTACAGTTCCCCAGTAAAAAAAATCTAACGGATTCAAATCTGGTAACCGGGCTGGCCACGGTATTGTACCAGACCGCCCTATCCATCTACCTGGAAAGTTTTGATCGAGATACTCTCTCACTGAGAGTGCATAGTGTGCTGGGCAGCTATCATGCTGAAACCACATGTCCCTGTAAATACTCAGTGGCACGTCCACCAATAAATTTTGTACATGATTTTTCAAAAAATCCAAATATACTCCAGCAGTCAAAGTCTCTGGGAACTCAAACGGACCGATTATTTTACCATTTAAAATTCCTGTCCAATGGTTTATCTTGAAGCGATATTGAGATTTATCTTCTCTCATCAAATGTGGGTTTGCTACGTGCGACTCGTGTAAATTATGCAGGTTCATGTACTTAAATGTGGTCTCATCAGACCATAACATTTTTTCAAAGAACTGTGGATCTTTCCTGTGCCTTTCTAACATTGTGCGACAGAAAGCAACTCGAGGCTCATAATCCCGGGGCAGGAGAGGTTGAACACGCTGTATGTGGTATGGATAAAGCATATCACTTACTTGCTATTGCACACTTTGATACCGATCAGTACTCCTTCGTTTACTGCGCATCTTTACATGTTCGTGCTTGTTGATTTCGTACTGTTACTAATTTTGGATTCGTGAACTGGACTGTTGATCGCTTGTGATTTGGATTTGGACTGTTTAATTGCTCTTCAAAACAACATTTGCTTTCTTTAGACTATCTTTGATAGTGTGATTGTGCAGTGCCGCTATGTCCGTGTACACCGTACAAGAATATGCTTACATGCACCTCATTTATGAGGAATGCAGTTGCAACGCTAGTGCTGCAGCGAGACTTTACTGTGAGGGCTACCCGAATGCAGCTCGTCTTCCAGATCATCGAGTGTTCACAAATGTGCACCGCTTACTGCTCTCAGAGGGCCAACTACCAAACCAATCACACGGTGAGGGAAGGTCTTTCCTTCCTTACGAAGACGTGGTGCTAGAAGCTATCGAAGAAGACCCGAGTACTTCAGTGCGTGCAATAGAACTAAAAACAGGTGTGCCCAAATGTACAGCCCATAGAATCTTGCAAAAAAACGTGCTTCATCCATACCACGTACAGCGTGTTCAAGCTCTTCTGCCCCGGGATTATGAGCCCCGAGTTGCTATTTGTCGCACAATGTTAGAAAGATACAGGGTTCTTTGAAAAAATTTTATGGTCAGACGAGACCACATTTAAGAAAGATGGGTACATGAACCTGCATAACTTACACGAGTGGCACGTAGCAAACCCACATTTGATGAGAGAAGATAAATCTTAGGTTTTTTGCAAAATCATTTAGAAAATTTATTGGAGGACGTCCAACTGAGTGTTTACAGGGACATGTGGTTTCAGCATGATGGCTGCCCAGCGCACTATGCACTCTCAGTGAGAGAGTATCTCGATCAAAACTTTCCAGGCAGATGGATAGGGCGGTCTGGTACAATACCGTGGCCAGCCCGGTCACCAGATTTGAATCCGTTAGATTTTTTTTACTGGGGAACTGTAAAAGAAAAAGTGTATTTCAAGCCGATTCAAAATGTAGCTGAGCTACGGCAAAGACTATTGGAAGCAGCTGAGTTTGTTAATAACCGTGGATTCGCTCGTGTAATAACCCGATCTTTTTTAAGATGTCGAGCGTGTATTGCGGCTGAAGGATAACAGTTTGAGCATTTGCTGTAAAGGTAAATCATCATCAGCAGCATTTTGACGCCCACTGTTGTGCAAACAGTTATCCTTAATGGTCCTTGTGCGTTTTCATAATCGCTGTTTAATTAGGAAATTTTGAAAATTTTTCATCAGTTTTTCTTCAAATAAAAATTGTACATAAGTTAATGAGTAATCTTCTAAGTGTTATACCATTTTGGAATCCTTATTAAATGCGCCAACTTTTAAGGTTACTTGCCAAACTCTCGTAGTACATTTGTATCCAGTACAGGCAGTTAAAGTTGAGCAAAGTTTTACTTTGGAATACTTGGTTGGGAAATAAGTGGCAATTTTTCCTGAACGAGAAAAGTTGGCAGTAAGGTTGAGACACCAGTTTGAAGATGCATTATTCATCATTACATTGTAAAAATAAAATCCAAAAAAAGTTAATATTTGTAGTAACAGGAGTTGACAGACTGCCGTAGGGTGTGAAATTTCTATATTTTTTTCAAAGACCTATAATTTTCAAAACACATACATAAAATTTTTTTTAAATATTTTTCTGATAGCTGTTATGACTTTGCCTATCACCCGGTTTCGGCTTGACGTCGACTTCTGGGACACCCTGTATATTGAATAACAGCGGACCTAAAACAGTTCCTTGTGGGACACCACACTTAATATACATTTCTTTACTGAATGATCCTGATATCTGCATAGATTGTGGGCGATTTGACAAATAATTTTCGATCAGTGAGTACGCGTTTCCTCTGAAACCAATTCTCTCCAATGCTTCTAATAATAATTTGTGATTAACTGTGTCGAAAGCTTTCTTTAAATCAACAAAAATGCAGATTGAAGGGATTCTGTTATCAATATTTTGATGTATTTGATTTACAATTTTAGTTATTGCGTCCGATGTAGCCTTCCCTTCTGTAAATCCATATTGATTTTCACTTAAAATTTTGAATTTTGTAAGGTATCGAATCATTCTAGTAGATAAAACTTTTTCAAAAACCTTTGCTACACTGGATATTATTGATATTGGTCTATAGTTGTTAACATCTGTTTTTGTTCCTGATTTATGTATCGGTATTATATTACCATTTGTTAAAATTGAGGGATATATGCCAGATTCAAAGCATTTGTTGATTAGGTAAGTGAGTGGTTCTGTTATGTCCTCAGCTATAATTTTCAAATGCTCGCTTTTAATACCATCGAATAGGACTTTTCCGATTTTTTAAGGACATAACAGTGGTGTATACTTCACATTGCTCGACTTTATCCAAAATAAATGAGTTCAAAGTTCTTTTTGGAGGCTGAGTATTTTGTACATTTGCTTGTATATTACTTGCTAAATTTTCGCCTATGTCAGTAAAGAATTGTACAAATTCATCGCATATCTGTTGAGTGTTTTTTAATACTGTTCCCGATGTTGTATTTAACTCAGTGACACACTCTTTAAATTTTGTTTTCCCAGTAATCTCATCAATAGTTGTCCAAAGCCGCTTAGGATCATTTCTACATTTAAGTTATTATTCAATTTATTTAGGTAATGTTTTCGTTTGGTTTGCTTACAAGCCCTATAAATTTATTTTTATATTGGTTGTAGCAGTCGGTATTCTCTGTAGTTGGCGTTAGTTTCATTACATTATATAGTCTTTCTTTTTCTATTGCCGATGTTATTAATCCTTTGGTAATCCAGGCATTTCTGCTTTTCTCTTTGTGACTAATTATTACTTTATTGGTACTAATATCTATTAGTTTTTTTATTTTCTCTATGGACTGTCCCGTTGCTTTGTCTATATTATTTATAGAGTATAATTGTTCCCAGGATTCTTGTTTGACATTTGATATTAGTTTTGAATTGTCGACAAAAAATTTGTAATTTTCCTGGTTGTTATTAACGGTAGGAATGTTAGAATGTTTTTCATTTGAAGATATCAGTAAAATAGTGGAGAAGTGGTCAGTAATATCGCTTTCTAGGATTATTGGTATACAAGTAATTTTGTTGGATAGGTCTTTCACAAAGCAGTGATCTATACATGTGCCACTGATGGACCTTGTAGGTAGGTTTATATAGGACAGAAATCCGTTACTTGATAGGATATTCAAGTATTCATTTGTGATGGGATCATCGTCCAAAATATTTATATTAACATCTCCCAAGAAACTATGTTGCTTTAAATGAACTTATTTTGATTTTGAAAAAAAAATCGATATTCTTCAAAAACTCGTGGGGTTCTGAACATGGCGGACGATAAATTGCAGATACCTCAATTTTGTTGTGGTTAATTTGGATCATTATGTTTAAAATTTTGATTCCATCAGTGAAAGTGAATGTATCATGATTATATTGCAGTTCATTTCTTACAAAAACTATCACCCCATCGTTTTGGTTATAAGTGCCAAACTTATACAGCGTGTCATATCCCTGCTGATTGAAGCAACCACTTGCCACGTTTCAGTTAAAACTATTAGATCAAAATTGTACCATATTTGGTCGAGTAGTATTTTTAAGTAATCAATGTTGTGTTTTATACTCCTTATGTTCATATTAAAAATTCGAAATTGTGCATCAGAATTTTGTGTACATAAATTAAGTTCATCGACGTTTTGTGCTATATTTGTTGCAATATTTGGAATTTGGAAATCATTAATGTATTTATTTACTGACATTTTTAGATTGACTCTATACTTTCTACACCTTCGTTAGATGTTTCAAAGAAAAGGTATAGGTCGAGTAGTTTCAAAAGGCGAAATCGAATCGTGATTAGATATGTTCACTTAGGTGAGCATGCAACTCCCTAACCGCTACAACCCTCAACACCGAAGTTTAAACCCCTACAAAAAAATTCCTAAAGTGATCAGGAGCCTCTGAAAGGTCAAAAAACGAAGTTTTATTTATTTTTTGTAACTGTGTGTGAAAATTCTATTAAAATCCGAGCAGTACTTCTCAAATTATGGATGGTTACAAGATTAGATGACAGAGCGACAGACAGACTGGTTTTTCGTGAGGTACATATCATATAACATCAAAAAACATAACTTTTTCGCGATTACAAAACTCCAGTTGGCCTACGAAGTAAAACCAGAAATCCACATATAAATAGACTAAAGATGGTACTATCTTGGATGCTCTTAGAACCATCTGTGGCAGTACCATTTGACCTCAATCGGAACTCCCGCCATCTACTTTTCTAGCTTTCCAAATTACCCCCAATTTCACCAAACAAATCAAGTACTAACCTGGATCCCGGCGTCTCGAACTTATAGTATTTCTGATTATCTAGTATAAAAGCTTCGGCTTGAGTTCTCCGCCGTTTTTTCTTCGTGGCCGATGAAGCGGTGCTGTCCAATGACGCGTCATCTTCAGTCTTTATCTTCCCGTTGCTGTCCAGATCGTGACAGGATATCACGCTGTCTTCTGTCGAGCTTTCGATGTTGATCACTGATCCGTCTTCACCATTTTGCTCCTCCTCGTCGTCCGAACTGGAATCTTCTTTTTTGGGGAAAAGGAAATTCGTCGCTTCGTTATTCAGCTGGATCAGTTCGGAGTTGCGAAGTTTTTTGAATTTTACAATCAACCTGGAGAAATGATATAGTGATTCAGGCAGAGTGGTAAAAAATACAGCATACCTTTTCTTGAAAATGCGGGAGTAGAACCGCTGAGAGAAAGTAGTAGTAATAGGAAGATTTCTTTAGAAAGTTTGGCTAGATAAACAAAATAATTATAAACAACTTAGAATTAGTAAATTCAAGACACATGATGCACATGTTGGGCCAGCTATAATTGTAGATTTGACAAGGTATTTCTCAATTTTGACTTCAATTTTGTCAAAGTATTCTGGTCTTTCCCTGTATTTATTTTGTTATAGTCAATCAATTCTTGATGGAATACAGATTTGTAACATACAGGATGTCCGCAAAGTTGGGGTTTTCCTTTTCAGAAACAACTACCCTTGAAATAACAAAAGTAATGTGTAGAGAAACGAGGGCGACCAAGTAAAAAAAAATAAAGGAAAAAGTACTCACTCTCCAGTTGACAAGAAGTGCTAAGTACGTCTCTGCCCGAAATCATACCGCTCCAACAGAAAATGAACTCAGCTGAAGCGCTACCGAGCAGACGCAGAAACCACATTGATTGTCTTACACTTAATGGCACATCTTCTAACAAGGAAGGCAAAATGTTGCGTGAAAAGTCTAGGTATTGCATCCCGTCCAATCGATTTGGGAGAATAAATGGTCCAATGAGCATACCGTTCACCATGCCAGCCCAAACATTCACCGAAAATGTTTGTTGAAAATGTGCCCGACGGACAGCGAGCGGATTTTCTACTGACCAAACATGAGTGTTGCGAAAGTTATTCACCCCATTACGCGTGAACGTAGATTCGTCTGTCACCAATATGCACTTCAAAAAGTCCGGATTATTGTCATGTTGATGCAACAACCACTCACAAAACCGCACTCTTGCTGGAAAATCGTCAGGTTGAAGGGCTTGTACACGTTGGACGTGAAACGGATACAGCCTCTCTTCACGCAGCGTTTGCCACACTTTAGTTTTTGATACTTGCACTTCTCTAGCCACGTCTCTAGTGCTTGTTGAGCGATTCTCGTCTACGCGATTACCTCTACATGCGTGACCGTAACCGTCGGTTGAAGGTTGCATACTAACCTGACACACTGACCCCGACCCAGTTCTGCCGTCGGGTTGAGACCTTGTACCTGTCGGGGATATCGCGGCGGGTCGCGGCTACAGGACGGTATTCAGATATTTTTGATGTTGCAGTGCTCTTTATCTCGGTTCCCTTAAGACATTGGTGTATATGGTACTAAGAAAAATTGCTTATGTTTTCAAGATCTACACGTCGTGTAGAGGAAAACCCCAACTTTGCGGACACCCTGTATATTATACTTTTTCGACATTAAATTGAAATCATTTTTATTTCTGGTATTATGAAAATGATGCTCGGCTTTTGATGATGTTTTAGTTAGACATGGTGGAAATATATTATTTTTCACAAGATATTTGATAAAATTTTTCGCATTGAGCCATTTTAATTTGCTACGCAGTCTAATTGGAGTATATTTATTTTTATTGTTATTCTGTTTTATTAAATTTGCAGTCTTTGAAAAATCGAATTATTAGCTAAATATAAAATTTCGAAGTGTACAAGAAATTTGAAAGAATGATAGTATTATAGATATTTTTTCTACTATATGAAATCAGACATATAGAAACTGTTTACTACTACTACTCTTGTTTATAGCTTTCTCATAATGTACATCAAAATTTAATAGATACAAAAACCCCAAGGTATTTAAAATGTTCTATGAATTCAATACCTTCACCATCAATATTTAGTTGAAAATTTGTATATTGTTTTCTTTCCAATTAACATAGCTTTCGTTTTACTTATATTTAATTTGAGTTTGTTAGATTCTAACCATTTTGAAACAAGTTTCAAGTCTTCATTTACATAAGAGATACCGGTCTGAATACTTTGAGTACTTATATAAATCTGAGTATCATCGGCGAAAAGCAAAAAAGTGGTGGTAGACAAATAATAATTAAACCAGTATAAAACATTTCTTGATATACCATATGTGTGTGTGGCTCTTCTCTAATTCTCAGTAACCAACTGAGAAGCCTTGTCTGTGAGCGTGATTTTCTTTCCTGGGCAGTGATCCCAAATTCTAACAGCTGTTGACATTTGTCAAAAAAGTTTGTAGATGCATTCATTTTCAGTAAAATTATATGTCATATCACCAAACGTTCCATCAAAAAGTTAACTTCATCGACTCCGAGACTTCAACACTTTTTCTCCCGAGAATGTATCGGGGATCAACTCTTCTACCAGAGTTTAGGAGTACAGTTCCCCGAAAAGTGAGAAAACCACAACGACTTTCTCTCAGTTAAACTACGAGGGATGTCTTTTAAGTTTTGCATATAGAAACATAGTAGGCCGCGCGGATCGAACGTTAGTGCTGAATCTTAACCTCACCCTTTAGTAAACTTAAATTCAAAGTTTCAAAACAATACGTGTTCTCACTACAGTGAATTTTAAAGTGTCACCAAGTCATTAGAAAAATGGAACTCAACCGAGAACATTTTCGCGCCATAATTTATTACAGCTTTCAGAGACAATTATCGCAACAAGAATGCCTTGCTGAATTACTGTCTGTTTTCGGCAACGAAGCGCCACATCACTAGACAATTTCCCGTTGGTATGGAGAATTCAAACGTGGACGGGTGAGTCTTAGCGACGATCGCAGGGTGGGTGCACCAAAAACGGCAGTCACCCAGGAAAACTCGATGCTGTGCGCAAACTCATCATTGAAGATAGACATGTGACATATCGTGAGATTGAGGATATCAAAGACCTCAATTCAAAAAATTTTACATGAAGAATTAGGAGTAAGAAAATTAGTTTCTCGTTGGTTACCCCACCTGTTGACTGGAGAGCAGAAAGCAGCCAGGGTTAATTGGTGTCAAAAAACGCTTGACCCTTTCAATTCCGAAATACCACCATTTGTTTGCCAAAAGTCATCACCGAGCTTCGAAAAATCAAAACCAAAAGAAGAATCATCCTCCACCAAGACAATGCAAGCTCGCACACAGCCCAAAAAACAAGGCAGTATTTAACGGAAGAAAACGTGGAATTATTGGACCATCCTCCATATAGACATATAGACCCGATCTAAGTCCCAACAATACCTTAAATGTCCAAGTCTATCAAACCGTTTAGCGTGTAGCCCGTGATATATAAATTGGAAAGTTGAAATTTTCGATTGAAGTCCGCCATTTTGATTTTACAAATATTTATATAAACCTACTCACCCTTTATCTTTTTCATCTTCTTTCTCCCTTTTAGGGCTCTGCGATTGCTGTCTTCTCGTCGACTGCTGTTCTTTGAGCGACCGTTGCCGCGATGTCAGCACTTCCACTTTGTAATATGTCTTTTGATTGGCAGATTGAGACTGCTTCTCTTCGGATCGCGCCCTTTTCTGTCGGATACACGCCCTTTTCGGTCGACCGGAATTCCATACTTCTTCTTGGGAGTCCAGCAATTGCTCGGAGAGTTTCTACGGAGAAAAGAAGTTTTGTATGTCTCGAAGACTCTAATTTCAACTTTCGTCCATCCGACCAAACATAGCGCCAACTGTCTCAAAAACCATCAGTACGATCTAAGCAGGTCTCTCGGAAGGACAATAATGAAGGCAGAACAAAGGAGGTATAAGGACGTTCCAAAAACATCAGCTATTACCAGAATCGACCACTGCGTGAGTGAATTGCAGCTATCAGTTGAAACTGTCAATTCAAAATGCTCTACAATAACGCCAATTCCCAAAATAACGAATTCTGAATATTTCAGCGATATGAGATCAGAAAAAGTATTACCCAACATTTAAAAATCTTTGGAGTCTCTAGTACATGACGAACTAATGCAGTTTATAGAAGAAAACATAAAAAAATCGAAAAAAAGTACTACAAATTTAAAAACTTAAAACTTCTTCTGGACATGCATTAATGAACTTGGTCAAATGATATAAAAAAATACTGCTGAAGAGGTTAAAATCCCATAAAAACGTAAGGCATGTACAAAAAAGGGTGCTACTCTATAAACTGGTAATTGGGACCCAATATCCCAAGGTCTGGAAAACAAACGAAGGACCCACACACCTTACTCTCATCAGCAGTTGACTGTCAATCAATGTCAAAAGTAGGAGGGCGCTGATGGCCTATGGGTGGACCCTAGAAAACCTACTTTACGAGGGACCAACGATATTTTAAGAGGAAATTTCTGAGGTAGTCATTAATAAAACATTATAACATTAGTGTCCAAAAGATTTCAACACAATACTGAGTCGCTAAGAAAGAAATATATATGTCTGAAATTATACTTTCAGGATTATGTTGTTTTCAACAAATTATGAAATTTACCAAAAGATAATGGTGGAAAAGTGTTTAGCTTAGGAATCGGTACTCTATCATTAATAAAGAGAAATTACTGGTAAGTGATCAAAGTAGTATAAAAAAGGTTATGTGATTTTGTCACGTTTTCTTAGACGGAATGACGGACAATGTCATTCTACATAGTAACAGCAAGACAGATTGTAACGCCACTTTTACTAATTCGTGAATGTATTTATTAAATTGACAATAAATGTTCAAACTGCCTTAATTCAGCAGCAATTCAAGTTTGACATCTTAAAAATGCTGGGTTATGAAATGGGTGAATCCTTCTTATTAACCAATTCTGCTGCTTCTGATATTATGTCCCGTAGCTCCCCTAAATAAATTTGGAAAAATAATGTTGTAAAAAGCCTAAATAAATTTCGCCATTTAAGAACTCTGGCAGCTCAAAGGGTACAATAATTGTCCGATTTTTAAATCCGATCCAGGTTTACCTTCAAACGATACTGTGATCTATCTTGTCTCATCAAATGTGGATTTTCTACATGCTACTCGTGCAAGTTGTGTAGATTCATGTAACCATCGTTTTTAAATGTCGAATCGTCAGTCCATAAAATTTTCTCTAAAAATCGCGGATCTTCCCGATGTCTCTGTAACATTGTTTGACAAAACTCAACTCATGGTAGATAATCTCGGGGTTATAGGGATTGTACTTGCTGTACGTGATAGGGGCGGAGCTCGTTCTTTCGCAAGAATTCGGTGGGCTGAACTTTTGGGCACTCCCGTGCTTGCTTCCATTTGACATACTGAAGTGCTCGGGTCTTCTTCGACTGCTTGTAGTACGACGTCCTCGTAAGGAAAGGAAATTCTTCCCTCACCATGTGCTTGATTTGGGAATCGACCATCTGCACCTACACAGACATGGTGGCACTACACAATCATGAATTAATAAAAGTACTACTACTACGTAGAATTTCACTGCCCACCATTCCGTCTAAGAAAAAATTCAAATTTGTAGTAATGGGAACTGAAAGATCATCACAGGATGTAGATTTTTAGAATGTTTTCTAAAGCCTATAATTTAAAAAGTACACGTCTTATACCTTTTATATTATTCTGTTAACAATGACGACATAGCCTATCCCCGTTTCCGGCTAGACGTCGACTTCTGAGACATCCTGTATGCTTCTAGATTTTGGAAAAACACTGGTCAAAACAATCAAATACCAAAAACTCACCGTAAATCCCCTAGTAGCAATCGCCGTACTGGCTGCGTTCGCCGGTGTAGATGCGGTCATCGTCGACCTCAACTCCCTGCCCTCATCCTCGTGCAAACTGTCCTCGTCCACGGCGTAATTGACCGTCCGTCTGGAGCGCAAATGGTGGTGGTTATTGGCAGGAGGCGTGGCCTCCGTGGCAGGGGGCGGTGACCTAGGATGGGTCGTGCACGTTCGCGTCGGCCGCTCGTGCATCATCGACGTTGCTCGCGTGCGGCGCATGACTTGGCGGCGATTGTTTGACGATGGAGGCGGTACCAACGGCGGAGGGAGGTCGTCCAACGAGGTCTCGTGAACGCCTGGAAACAAACATATGTAGGAGTAATTAAGTTCAATTAATATGACAAATGTATGATGAAAACTCGAGTAAAGTATAGCATGATTATGCCATTAAACTGAAGCCATACCACATATGGTGACACAGGTAAGCTAAGTAAAGGCATAATAGATAAATATAAAGATAAATTCGGTATTTAAATTATTAAAATCAAGCGAGCATTTAAATGTCCTAAATTTTGTCTTATTTCCATTGAAAGTCAAGAAATTTTTGTCATACCATTTTTATTTTTGTCTTAATTTCATCAAAGTTTCGTAGTATCATCAGCAAAAACCATGCACGTACCATTTATCCTAAATTTTATTAAATCATTGATAAATACTTTAGGCGCTGAGGAGGAAAGCTAGGGTATCAAAAGGCCCCATACGATTGTAGGTGGAGAGGTAGGCTACTAAAAAGATCAAGCAACCATTATCCTTATTAAACATTTTGGCGATTCGGGCTGTCGGCTATATGGAATAATTGTACACCTATAGTTACCTCCATGTTTTAACAGAAATAATTTTTGTCATGCCAGATTGTAAATATATTGATGATTCTAAAACAACGCGCTTCGGTATCTATTGGTGGCCATCGAGGAATGCTCCTCAAGATTTTTGTTTCTCTGCAAATAATTGGACACTCTACCAGAAAATAGGTCAGGACAGCCAAATCCAAGTCAATTCCATTTAGTATTACTAAAGGGCGAAATGAGTACACCTAGAAAAACAGACAGAAATGAACATGAAGTTCAAGCTGTTGGAAGCGGATTAGTGTTCGCAAGGAACGATTAGGTAAATATTGAAGATACAAAGAGAAATTGAAGATATAAAAATAATAATTGAAGAGAAGAGTATTTTACTAGCTGGTAAAGGATTTAATAGAACGATTGGTAAATGCAAATTCCAGGGTAAAAAAAAGTATAACTTGATTGTTCAAAGCATCAAGGAAAGAGAAATAATTATGGAACGTTTAAAAAGGACCGAGAGAAAAAGTTGGATGGCATAGAAAAGAATCAAAATGCAGAAACGTAAACTAAAACTGATCTGACTGGAGAAATCTTCCAAATTAATAGAAATCATGGAAAGTAGAAACTCTGTGGGAGATAATACGCTGTCGTCAGATGTTGTAAAAAAAGCCATTGGTAGTTGAACAAAAATACAACAAGAAAAGTAGCACTGAACAAAAATGTTCTAATGCAAAAATCAGATCTTGCAGATGTAGGAAAATCTGTTAATAAGATTACACAACCAAAACAAGGATGATTAGTCATTCACGTACGAGACGAAAACTCATTAGTAAAATTGAACAATGAAGTGTGATAATCGGTCTATACATTTGAGATGGAATAGACATAAGTTCTACAAATCTTTTAGTGTTCTTTGATGTTGGCGATTTGGACATCTGAAAAGTGCAATGCTGTTGTAGTATATCTATACTGCAGTCAAAATCACATGAAGGAAGCATGTAAAGCTGAAAAGTACACCTGCAGTAATTGTAAATATACATATGAAGTATGAAGATGCCAAATGCATATGTATTTGACAAAAAATTCCCAAGCTGCTTAAATCAAATAGATAAAGCCAAAGAACATTTTATGAAAAATATCAGAAAATCTCTTTTTGTTGAAATATTGAAGAATTAGGGACATTATATGCATCATTGGGATCTTGGGACAAAAGCAGATTCTCATTGAATATATGCCAAAAGGGACAACAATAAATGCGGGCGTCTATGCGGACCTGCTCGGAAATTTGCGTAAAACACTGGAAAAGACCAGATTTTTTCAGTCGAGAAGTGTTCTTGCTGTATGACAATGTGGACGTGCATAATTCTGGCAAAATTAGACCGATTGTGCAAGAATGCAGCTTCGCTCAGATAGACCACCCTTCCTATAGACCAGACTTGGCTCCATCTGACTTTTACCTCTTCATATTGGTAAGTCAACGACGACATTTATGATAGTCAAAAGGAAAAATTTGTTTATAGGGATATAAGTTCACTGAAAAAGAAACGGCGCAGGTGCATTGATGTAGGAGGGATTATATTGAAAAATAAAATTATGCAAAAAATCGTACGTCTTTCGTATTATGGCAAGGTAGGTAGATTTTTTCTAGTACACCTCTTAATATCCCAGACAGTAATTTCAGAAACATTATTTATTCAATTTTTCAGACTAGATTTACAAATACAGCAGACGCTCGATAACGTAAACACGGGATAATGAAAACTTGCGCTAATGTAAACACAAACTTCGTTCTGTAGGATCAAACGGAACGCGCGATAACGTAAACAATGTGTACGCTCGATAACGTAAACAACTCTCGGTGCACGGAAACAGCGCGACGGTAAAATGCTGAAGCCTCGATGATTTATGTCGGGCGTCGGGGAGTCCCCGATTTATGATGTAGAGTGTAGGGGATTCACCTCTGCGATAAAATACGACAAACTCGGTCAGTCCTATGATCATTTAGGATACTTTTATACGTACGTATGTATTTCATTTTTGAACTTAAGTGAATACATTGCACGCGTTCATATATTTTACGACTATGGCATCCACATCCTATAAAAGAAAGTGTTTAAAGTTGAGTGAGAAAGTGAAAATCATAGACGAAGTTGCACTAGGTGCGGGAGTGACACAGTTAGCAAAAAAATATGGAGTATCGAAAGCAGCAATCTGTAAAATTAAGCGTATGAAAACTCAAATTTTACAAAGAACGTGCATTTGGAGGTCCGGGAAAAAGAAAAACTTAAAAAAATGCGAAGGCACCTAAAATGGAAAATTCCCTGTATAAGTGGTTTTTAAAACAACGGGAAAATCATGTCCCAGTTAGTGGCTAAGTACTTAAACAGAGAGCGAGACTGTTAAATGAAAAACTGAAAGAAACTGAAAATTTCGTAGCTAGTGATGGCTGGCTACAACGATTCAAAACAAGATATGGAATTCGACTGCTGTCTATATCTGGTGAAAAATTATCAGCACAACCACAATTAGTGCAATCATTCAAAGAAAAATTGATGAAAACAATTGCCAAGCTAGATTTAAGAATGGAACAAATTTACAACGCAGATGAAAGTGGCCTTTATTGGAAAATGTTACCAGAGAAAACTTATGCTGCATCATTTGAAAAATCTGCCCCGGGAAGAAAGCCGGAGAAACAACGAATAACGTTTCTAGCCTGCACTAATGCTAATGGTTCACACAAAATAAAGCCACTGGTAATTGGTAAAGCAAAAAATCCGCGCTCATTTAAAAATGTTAATATCCCTGTTGATTATGACTGTTCAAAAACTGCTTGGCTGACTAGCAGTATATTCCTGAAATGGTTCCACAGGTGCTTTGTCTCTCAGGTATGACAATCAATTATCACAAATGCTCTATTCATAATTTGAAGATGTGTTTTCAATTTGTAGGTAAAAGGTTTCCTAAAACAACAGAAGCTTCCAATAAAAGCGTTGTTACTATTGGATAATGCACCAAGTCATCCTCCCAAGCAACAACTGAGGAGCAAGGATGGGTCAATTTTCATGTACATGCCGCCCAACGTAACACCGTTAATTCAACCGATGGACCAGAATATAATAAGACTCACCAAACTATACTATAGGAAGTTTCTACTTTCGTCTGTCTTATCAAAGAATCCTGAAAACTTATCTGAGGCTTTAAAAAAAGTAACATTACGAGAAGCTGTTTTAGATTTACATTTGGCCTGGAATGAACTTAACCAGCAAACTATTCAAAAATGTTGGAACAATCTCTTTTGTACCAATAATGAAGATGATGAAGAAGACGATGTCCCTTTAAGCATAATTAGAGAACGTTTGCGATCCAATAATGATAATGTTATTAGTGTGTCATTGGATGTTGTTGATTTATTGAAAACAGTGAATCCCAACATTGTTTGTACTCCTGCTGATATTAATTTATGGAACGAAGATAAGCAGACGAATGATGCTGATAAGGAGGAGGATATGGACAGTGAGGATGATGAGAACGATCCCATTGAAGTCAGAAGTGTAGTGACTGACGCGCAAGCTATTCAAGCTTTTAACCAAGCTTTAGATTGGGCTGAAAGAAAATAAGTTTCATACACGGATATTTTTCGTAAATTACGGGCGCAGGCATTGGAAGACAATGCTAAGCGCAAATTTACGCAGACAAAAATTGTTAATTATTTTTCTTCTAATTAAAAAAATACTTATCGCTGTTAGAATATTTGTTTATTTTCTTATAAATAGTATGTATTAAACGTTTCTTTTGATAAATCAAATATTATATAAATCACGTTCGCTAATGTAAACATTTCGATAATGTGAACCACACTTATATTAAATTAGTTTACATTATCGAGCGTCTGCTGTATGTATATTTGGCCTACAAAATTCATATCAATATGGGGTAATAACAATGTTGAAACATGAATGTGAAATGATCAAATCCAAGTGTTACCTATGGCATCAATCCCATTCAAATTCAAAAATGGAATGGTGTTTGTATGCAGAAACCCGTTCAAAGATCCATTCAGAGCAATGTAGTTGGCATCTTCTCCAATCAGCTTCTGATGCTTCCTCGACTGTATGTGGTCTTCAACACTGTTGTATGGCACACCACAGACAGCACAATATCCTGAAATAAACATAATTCGAGACACAACTCCAGGTGAGTTTTGAAACAAGCATCAATTACTTCAATGCTTCAAAATAAATAAGTTGAACCTCGACTCCCTGAAACAGTACAGGGAAACCTTCGATTTATGTTTTATTTTTAAACTAGTTAATGGTTCCATGGGCAACCCAAATTTTAATGTGTATGAAAAACAACTCACTATAAGAAACTATAATACGAATGAAACAGTCAGTAGGATTCTCAGATATGTAAGTTAAAACATATTTTTGGTAGTGTTATTGAATACATCAAGAAGTACATGAACAATGTTTCCATTCAACTTTAGTTTGTTAGGATTTCAAGTTTAAGTAGTTCAGCTACCACATGAGTATGATGGTTTGGTTTAATAATCTACAGGAAGCTATTGTAATCTGTTTCATAAATGTAAAATGTCTTTTGTTTGTAATGTGAAAGTTAAAATAAATAATTATCATTTATGAGTTACAAAATATTTCTGCAATCTTTTTCCTAGCGCAATCCTATCAACATACCAGATTGTAGCACAGGAATTCTTGGCTTCCTATTTCTAGTCTGACGCGTCATCACACATTCCTCTGGTAAGGGGGTAGAAGATCTCAGCCTTTCTTCTACAACAGGTTCCTTAGGCCTTCTCTTTTTTCTTTTCCCTTCTACCTCATCCACTGACTTTCCATTTGCGTATGCCAGGTCCTCCATTGGGTGACAGACTTCTTCCAAATAGGTACGCTCCAACAACATCTCATAATAACACTGTCACCACAGCTGAAAATTTAATGTATCTTCAGATATACTCATTATAAGAACACAATGTCAGCTTACTGAAAAGACCAGATACTTTATGAGTTGAATACATTTTCACACTTATGACTGTTACAGATGACAATGTTTAGTTTATGTTTTTTGATATTCTAATTTTGGATTTGAATAAAATATTTACACACTGTAACCTTCATTTTCTCATCCAATTTATCAAGTGTTGCCAATCATGCAAATGCCGGTTAGTAGTTTTTGCAGTGTCCTGATAACAAGTCTGAAAAATTCTAAGTAAGCCGTTTTATGCCCTACTACTTAGCAAAGGTTATCTTTTTGTTAAGGTCCAGCTTAAATTATGTTTGTTGCTCGACTCTGATTTGGTAAAAACTTAGCTAAGATAAAGCTACATCCGGCAACATTAATATACATATCAGATGAAAATATAGACACTGCTTTAAAAATGCTAAATTCTGACTTGGTAAAAATCGTAAATAAACTAAAATTGAATATTTCTAAAACAAAATCTATGCTAATAGGGAAATACCTAAATGAAAATACTATCACAGTTAGGATAAATGGAGAAATAATTTAAAATGTTGAATCAATTAAATATTAAGGTATATATATTGATAGTAAACTAAAGTTTGAGGATCAGTATGACTACATTATTACAAAAATTGCCAAAAAAACAAATTACTTTTATAGGGCTTCTCATAGCCTTGGTACCTATTCCAAGAAAATAGTTTATAATACAATTATTCTACTGCACTTAATATATTGTTCAACTATCTTGTTCACTGTCAATGAAGCTGTATTCTCAAAATTACAAGTGTCGCAAAATAATATTGAATAAAAATAACACCAAAATAAAATCTATGTAACAAGAATTGCAGTGGTTGGATATAAAAAAATTTCATATCATATTTGGTTCTTATTTTTATATTCAAAATAAAAAATCATCTTTTGCCAGAACATTTAGAACACTACATAGAATTGAATCATCATTACCACAATTATTATACAAGAGGAAATATAGATTTTCATTTACAAAATTGCAATAGTAATATAACTAGCAAATCAATATTTCAGAAAGGATTACTTGAATTTAATAAATTAAATAATGATATAAAGTCTACTTGTAATTTAAACATATTTAAAAGAAAATTAAGGGAATATTTCAAGGACAATGAAGATTCTTAGAGATGCAAATTTTTTTTTTTCTGAACGTCTGTATGTTATGTAATTGTTTAGTTTTTTAGAAGAATGCAATTGTAGCAATCATGCTAAATAAATCTAAAACACACAAACAACAAAATCGCATTTTAGGGCAACAGTGTCTGCAATTACAAATTTGTTGACTGACTTGGTTGTATGTCTAATTGACAATGCCGGATTTTGTCAAAGTCTTCGCATTATATTTCAAAAAGCAAACCTAATGGTAGCTGATGCACTTGTTGATAGTGACCATTGTTATAGATACATGACACATCTATAAGGGAATGCCAGCCTATTGTCAATTAGGAACAGCAATGTTTCTCAGATGATGAGAAATCTTAAGGACAATTTCTTGACACAGCAGAATAGTTTCATCGAATTCAGCAATTTCCGCAATATCTATATCCATATTTCAAGCTTTCTTACTGTTCAAATTCACATTAAGCAGAGAAATTTTTCGACTTAGCTCATATCTAAGTTCCACTGAAGTGTCAAGTGGATATAGTGCCACAAAAATGTTGAAATCAATGATCAACTTAGCTTAAAGCCAAACTTAGCAAGGCAGTGCACCAAGACAAAATTCTAATTGTTTAATTTTTTAGAAAAGGTGACTACCCAAAGTCTAATGAAAACCAAAAGAATCAAGTGTAGGACAGATATTTTGTATTTCGTCAACAAGTGAAAATTTTAACATATTGAACCAAAATTGGCCCTGTTACAAAAAAAAACATATATATATATATATATATATATATATATGTTTACCAAACAATACATGATACAAAATAACTCAAAACAAGTAAATATACTTAAGAAATAGAAATAGATTACATGAGTTATTTTGAAGTAATTTGGCATCATGCAAAGCCAAACAATTGGATAACATTGTGAAAACTTGAGGTGCAATGTTGCCAAATGACTGCTTCAAGATGATTCAAAGTGCACTGTGATGCAGAGAAATATGAGAACTCAAGGAAACAAAACGTGTGTATTGATATTTTATAATATTTGAAAGTGTTAACTGCAGCAATTACATAATAGCTATTAAGTCATGTTGCCAGAGAAGGCATTCAGGAGTTCAGATGAGAATCATTGAGTAAATACAAGCATTACTACAAATAAGTTAATGGTTAACATGACACAATAAGAAAAAAGCTACCAAAACAAATATTAAGCTTGCAGTCCTTACTTACACAACTGACTTGTCCATCCAAAAATATGTAGGCTTCATTCCAAATGCTATACTAACTACAGCAGCACACTATTTGGCATCTGCAAGAAATAATGTTACACTACAACTGAAGTACATAACTAAAACTACAATAAACTACAACATAATATTTTACAGTACTATAAAGTCCTAAGTTCTACTTCCATGATCAAACACATAGCAACAACGTCTCAGTACGACGCACTAGCTACGTTGCCAGAGTTTCTTCATTTCACGAACAATACAACAAAATAGATTCGTGAAAATGAAAAAGTATATCTTAAAATGCATTATTTTGGGGCATGTTTTCTTAATTCTTCATAAATTCGAATACACTTAGACGCAGTGATAAGTTAAATAATTGAAATCAGAATAAACACAAGACGAACTTGTAGCTACGTAACATATTATTCGTGCGTCCCTCGTATGCAATGATTAACAAACAGCTGCTTCCTGCCCAACTGTTCGCACCATCTGGCAACACCGTACGGCTGGATGCACTCACGTAGTAAGGTTTGTGATCTGTCAACAGAAGCCTTTAAAACACTTTTTCGTTTGTTTACATTAACATACTGATAACCATTTCCATTTTGCTATGGTTTTGCTTCACACATACAAAACAGCGCCAGAGCCTTTACGCGTCGACCGTAGGCAATCGATTTTACAAACGGAAGCAGTTAAAGCTGACTGTACCGGCTTTTTTATCGAGGTATAATTTTACTGAGAATTGAATGTTGCGTGGGGTCTTTCGGTCGGGAAAATTCCAATTTTAAGCCGTCGTTGTCGGGCTGACCCGAAACTCGTTTCAGACTATAAAATCGCTCGATACTCGTGTATTTTTATATGATTGGTGGCATTATTTTGCGTCCCACTTGCGCAACGTAACATTGATAAATAAATTTGCTGCACAACCAGACAATTGCAAAGGCTCACTTAAATGTTATTTTATGAGTTATATAAATGAGTAACTCCACATTCTTACGTCAAAATCAAGATGCAAAACATAGGAATACCGTTATTTTAAAATAATCTAGGTGCAGGAAGTTGAGTACTAAATGAAATCGAATTGTTTGCGACAGAAATACAGAACTGTGAGAATTTTTGAAGCTTCGGGAGCGTACATTCCTTTACAATTATGCATGCTGAAAACATAACTAACCTAGGCCAAAGTTACAAATAGCTACTACTGAAAACTATCTAAAGAAACAGTCACTATTATAAATTACAGCCACGTAGTGATCAAGCTGCAAATTGTTCAAATTTTTGTTATAAAATGTCCAAATACATTCGATCTACAAGGGTCTTTTTAAACTATGAAGTGTTTTGTGTACAAAATGATTTTGTTCGGAAGTCCTACAACAGTAAACACCTACTCATTCTGGATTTTGAGCGAAGCGTGTGCTGTACTTACTCGAAAAAATGCAGAGTTGTTTGAGCAATCCGTACGAAGACAAAAGAAAGGGAACCCCACTAACCTGATTTTGCACTGGGAAACTGTTTGTGCTGCATCCACTGCGAAAAATTACAGTTTTTTAACTACAACTCACTATTGAATGGTGAACGAATAACGCTGACACGTAGGTATTTTTCACCTATAAGCTTTATGAGCGTTCAAGCGGCGATGTTTCACTGGTATTCACTTTCCTAGTCCACCATTTTCAAGAACGCCGAGTTCCACACGCCCTACTCCAAAATATGGCCGTTGGATATCACTGTGCTTTGTATCTTCACTAATGTATCACTTTAGTTTTGTTGTAGACACTAATATAAACGCGTTTTTGGTGAAAGTTTATGGAAAAATGTAAAATTATTGTTATTCAAAACATTTGTCAATTCGCCACTATGAAAATATGCAATTAGCCAATGAGAGTTGTCGTAATTGACGCTGGCGCTGTGGAGCGAACGCCATCTTGAGCGGGAAATTTAAAAGATGGTTTGTAGTGGTAGCTTTGGGCAGAGTTGATTCAAAATAGTGGCCATGTTTACACCTACACTAGGGATGGCGATTCTTTCCGAAGAAGATCGATTCGGATCGCAGTCTAATGAATCGATTCACAAAAGTCCAGGTGTTTTAATTCAAAACAGGGAATACTTTAGATCAGGAAACTCATAATTACAATCGTTTTTACAATGTATTAGATAAGGCGTTTATCTCCTAAATTTACTAAGATGCCTTGTATTTTTATTTGTGTGCATTTAAAATTAAATTGCTCTTTCAGTTAAAAAATCAGATGTTGATTTTCGAGAGAAATATCGATTGACTGGATCGATTCAGTAGGGGATATTTGATATAAAAAAAATTTGGCATGAGAATTTTTTTCGATTAATCGATCTTAGATCCCCTTCCTAGTTTGCATCATGGCCATTAGTGTTTCGCTCCTATAGAGCATCGCAAACGCAACGCAAACGCATGGAATACACCGTTATATGATGTTCTGTGGCTTAGCTAACTATGCGCTTCTTACGGTGTAAACAAATGTAGTAAGGGAGACAGGGTTGATTTTTGTCTTCCGACTTGCATGCCGAATTGAGATGTTGGACAGAAGGGCAGATTAAGGACCGTATCGTCAATCGTTCCTACAATTGTAGGACGCCTTTCTGGCCTCCTTGATTCTCATAGTCTTTTCTTTCCGTCAGAAATATCTAGATGTTTACTGTTCCGTGTCAGCGTCAGCGCTCTCCTATTGTGATGCTATGTTCTCTTTTTGAATTGTAGGAGATTTCCGGCTGATATAACAGATGATGTAAATCAAAAGCATGGAAAATTTGATGCAAATAGATATTTGTAACATAACCTCAAAATAGAGTGTTGACGCCGAATAGCGGAAAACTATGAAAATTAAGGAGGCCATAAAGGCGTCCTTGCTCGTGTCCCCCCTAGGCGCCCAAGTCTGCCATTTTTTTCGTAAAAATAGGATATATTGCAGTGTGTTAGTGTGAAAATTATCTTGCTAAACCTGAATCGTAAGACATGCGCTTCCCTACACACCTAGACGTATCCCATGCACGGCTCTTCAATTTCAATTTTTTATCGCTGATAAGCCGCTCCTAGAGTCGAACATGTTGCTAGTTGAAAATCTATTTTAAAAAGCTTTATACACCGAGGATGACCGACTTCGGTTTTCTTTTTCAATTTCACCATCATTTGTTCACAACAGACTCCCAACCACAAACTTCAATTTTGCGTACGTTTTTTTGTATGAAAAATCACGTTTGACGAACGAAACGAACTACGTGGGCCAACAATTATAGAAAACTGAAGCTGTCTTGTTCGACAGCTTTGTTCGCCGGAAAAGATTGTCGCACTCAAAACTGGCGTGTATGGGTAGGCCCTAACGATATCGAAGTCACAAAACACATAACACAGTCTCCCAATCCCAACACAGCATATATGTTTCATGGGTCATGTCATAGATGGAAGTAAAACGAGCAAGTTAGAGTGAAAGAAGACACAAGTTTTCAAATTCGCCTTCTTCATTCTTACTGACCGCTAATTTTTCACATAGATGGTATAGAAACGCTTGATACTGTTTTTCTTGAACAAGCTCGTTGAAGACAATTCTTTACTGATTCAACTTAAAATAATTCAGAATTTTTCAAAATGGATTACAAATTGACTGTATAGAGAAGAAAATGGCAGACGAAGATATACAGGGTTTGTCCGGAAAGTAATAGGACTCATTTGCTTCCGCCATGACTTTACTTCGGAGTGTGCGCGCACCGACTGGATTCGGTAGAGGGCGTTCCTAGCTAACGAATGAGCGTCTGGTCGCTGGTCAGTTGTCTCCGAGCAGTTGGAGAGTCAGGACAGGCATTTTCGCGCGACGTGTTTCTGTGAGTGGTGCAAGCCGAAAATGCAGCGTTCGTTAGAGCAGAGGTACGCGATTAAATTCTGTGAGAAACTCGGTAAATCTGCGACAGAGACGTTTGATATGACCAAGCAGGCTTACCCAGGTGTTACTTTAGCAAGAAGTGGCGTGTTTCGGTGGCACCAGGCCTTTTTGGAGGGCCGCGAAGAGGTCGCTGATTAAGACCGTGCTGGAAGACCTTCGACTTCGACAAACACCGATAATGTGACTCGTATGCGCAAAGTTTTGAACTCAGACCGTCGACTAAGTATTCGTTTAATTGCCCAGATGTTAAATTTACCAAAATCTGTGGTTCATGACATTGTGACACAGCATTTGAACACGCGCAAGGTGTACGCGAAGATGGTCCCAGCAGTACTCACTGACGACCAGAAATTGCGGCGAGTGGAAGTGTGCCAAGAAAATTTGAACATCTGTGAAAGTCACCCCCAATTTTTGAGTAACGTAATCACAGGTGACGAGCCGTGGATCTTTGAGTATGATCCCGAGACAAAGAGACAATTTTCCGAGTGGCACACGACGGCGTCTCCTCGCCCAAAAAAGGGAAGAATGAGCAAATCCAAAGTGAAAATGATGCTCATTGTTTTTCTTGACATCAAAGGCATCGTCCACCATGAATTTGTTGCTCCTGGACAAACCGTCAACGCCAAGTTTTACGTGGAAGTGTTCAGGAGACTCAAACGAAGGGTCAGTCGGGTCCGACAAGACATCGAAGCCGACTGGAAGTTGCACCACGTCAACGCCCCGGCTCACACCGCCTTTCTTGTGAACAGCTACCTGACCAAGGCCGGCATCCCAATGCTTCCGTAGCCGCCCTATAACCCAGATGTGCCTCCCCCTCGGACTTTTTTTTGTTTCCACGCCTGAAAAGGCCGATGAAAGGCAAGCATTTTGAGACGACAGAGGAGATCCAAGCAGCATGCACCGCGGCTATAAAGGCTATTCCGGAGAATGCCTTCCGTGACGCCTTCAATGCTTGGAAATCGCGCTGGCAGCGCTGCATCAACACAGAAGGAGCCTATTTTGAAAGTTTTTAAAGAATTGTAACGATTGGCTCAATAAATTTTTTTAAATCGACCGTCCTATTACTTTCCGGACAAACCCTGTACTTGTTTTCTGTAGTTTCATATCTTAAGATTCGTAAGCTGGTGTCATCTCTCGGCGAGCTGCTCAACCTCAAGATTTTTCGGAGCTGATGTAGAGTTCGCTATAAAGTTTTACCAATACCTTCTTTCACTTACTTCAAGTTCGTATGAATAGACCTCCAAAAGCAATTGAATCAAGAATATCGCTTTGAAGAACCCATCACTAGTCGAATTTGACGTTTCTAATTTTGAGGTTAGAATCAGAATTAAAGTATGAAAATTATTTTAAATTCAAAGCGGTCGTGATCACCTCGTCGTCCGTATTTCGATCGAATAGCTCGGTTGTCTATTCTCGAGAGCCCCCAACCGGTTCCGCGGAGTGTCGCAAAAATGTCGAGCGGTCGCAAGTGCAAAAATTGCGGGGGCACCGACATTGAAGTCGATGCGGCTCGGGGAGATGCCGTGTGCACCAACTGCGGTTCGGTACTCGAAGACAGTATTATCGTCGCCGAGGTACAGTTCGAGGAAGGGGCCCGCGGGACCAGCAGTGCCATTGGACAGTTTGTCGCGGCTGATTCCAAAGGGGGTGCCACTAAGTTTGGGGCCTGTAAGTATTGTTTAAAGGATAATTTATATTTGGAATACCTCAATTGTATAACTAGTGGGATAACCAGTGTTTCGAGGCAGAGAGGAAATGCACATGTGCTTGTATAATCTTCTATTCATTTAAAAGGAAATAGTTTGGAACTTGGCCTGACCTGGTTTCAATACTTTTTATATCTTTGAAAGGCAGAGCATGAGTGTTTTCAGGTACTCATAGCCTCCAGTTGGGGGCACCATATGGTCATTCAGGCTGTTTGCAAAACATGGCCAGGCTTTAAACTATAACTAACTAAAGCTGTTTTTTGTCCTATGATGCAAGACTGCTTTGTTCTGGAGATACTATTCCTAAAATGATAACACTGTTTTTTTAATAACTGCTATACAAGCTCATTTAGTTCCCCAGACTTTGCCTTAATACTGTTAATTTTTTGTATGTCTTATAATTTATATTTAAACAGATTATAACAATTTATTATTATAACAATGGTTCAAAAATCATATTTTTGGAAATCCTCCAACCGGAAAAAACAGTCTGTTATTGAAAAAGACAGTCTTATTTTAGAACTGCTGTATTAAACCTGATATTGATTCCTGCATCAGCAGCAGCCCAAAAAACTTACTTAACCACTTGGTTAATTATTTGGGGACTGGTTAAAGTATAAAGCAATTTGACCAGTATTGAAACAATACAGTTTTTCCCTAAAATTGTTCAATTTATGAAACCAAACAAGAATACATTTTCGTAGCTGACTTTCCAGAAATATCATTTATGAGCCATTATTGTATAGAGTTAAAAAAACACTTCTAGTGGTCATTAATCTGTCAGAATCTCAAAATTTCACTGAATTATACAATGTTGTTAGAAGGTAATTTGAGAAAACACAATTTCAGGGATGCTCTCTGAAATTAAGCTGTGTTTTGAAAATCATCAGAAGACAAAATACTCACTGAGCTTATATCAAGGATTGCATTATGATCCTAGGTTTAGAAATTAAAATATCCATATACAGTAATGGACAAAAGTATATAGACAAATTAATATTGTGCTGTATTTATTTATTGTAATCGATCCTTACGGTTTTTCCTCGAGATTAGCGGCTTCCTACTCGGGGACATGCAAATAACTTCAAATCATTTAATCTTCTACTTATAGTTTTCTTGGGGTTTTAAACGGATCTTTGGACGAAATTACTTTTATTAATCTATCTGATCTAGCATTTAGTTTTCTAGGCCGACCACTTCTCTTAGAGGCTTCCAAGATACCTTTTTGTTTATATTTGTTCAATATTGCCCAAACTGCTTTACACTTCAGCTTCAAATTTTTGGCAATGTCAAGTTGACATTGACCATCTTTGTATAACTCAATGATCTTAGTTTTCACATCGAAGGAAATTTCTGAACCACACGGCATGGTCTTAAAATCACTCAACTTATTCCACAATGCTTGATGAACACAAAAACAGGCAGCAGCTGTGGCTGCAGTAGTAGACTCTTCGGTCTGCTGATCAGTCGCCGTACGCTGTGCGGGTTCGAATCCCGTCCCAGGAGAAATTTTTCTCTTGGCTATGGATGTAGTGATTGTCCGTAGGTGGTAGACGGTCTCTGACTGTCGAACGCGGAGGTACCACACGGCGGATGTCTTAGGTGGAGCCAGAATGTGTGCATGTCTACTAATAATTCATTTGTTTATAGGGCAATGAAGTATGAATTCGTTTTCTAAAGGTATTTAGGTAAATATTCATATTTGTCTATATACTTTTGTACATTACAGTAGATATGAACAATCAGGATCAGTATCTTAAAAGGTTAAGCCAATTCTTCAAATAAGTGGGATATGGGATTAAGATTTGGATTTGTATTTATCAATATAATCACTAAAATCCAATTGTGAACATTTTTTTGACAACTCCACTACATAGGAAATGCCACGTGTCTGCTTCTCAAATATTGAAAGTACATGACCTAATCTAATAAATGCCTCATATTTAAGATAATCAAAATCCTAAGTAAATCATAATCCAACTGATATAAACATAGTGTCAGGATAGTCTAAAGAATCACTATTTGAATTTTCCATCCTCTCTTAATAATGCAAAAAAAAAAGAAATTAAAAAAATCAAAGAGGCTATTCGATATGTGAAATTCACTTCTTTCTTACACGATATTCAATTTTGTTTCAGCTTTCCATGTGGGTGTGGGTGTTGAATCACGCGAGATAACCTTGAAGAAAGCTCGGACAGGCATTGCTCACCTTTGCAACCAATTGAAACTGAACCAGCATTGCATTGATACTGCTTGCAGCTTCTTCAAGATGGCACTGTCAAGAAATTTGACTAAAGGAAGACGAAACACCCATGTTCATGCTGCTTGTGTTTATTTGACATGCAGAACTGAAGGAACAGCACGTATCCTTTTTGTAATATATGCGAAGTTAACCTGAAAGTCAACATGAGTTGCCCTCTCAGGTTGCTTTTATAGAATCACAACTAAACTTTAAAATACATTAAGTCATATGTCATGAGGATCACCCAATAGACCTCTGTAAGTTGATTTATCCTAAAAGGTCACCTGAAAGTAAGTCTACGGTTATTTTTCACTGCCAGGTCTTATTGCAACAAAATCGCATCAACATATTTATGTGATTCTCAATGGGAGCGTCACTTTTGATTGTTACTAAAAAATAACAGCATCACATTTTTCGTCATGTTCGTTCATAGAAGAGAACGAAACTCGGTACAATCGGGTAATTTGGAATACCGATTTGGAAGTTAAGTATCGAAAAGACCTACGAGGGTGGTCCCAGAGGTACCCGACCCAACGAAGAAAACTCAAAAGTTTTGTAAAAAAATGTATGTATTTTTCAACATAATCTCCTTTGAGCTCTATACACTTTTCCCAGCGATGTTCAATAAGTTTGATAGCCTTTTTATAATAAGAACTCTCTTGCTCCTCAAAATAGCCATTAACTGCCGACATCACTCCTTCATCGTTAGAAAATCTTTGACCACTGAGCCATTTTTCAAGTTTGGAAACAGAAAATAATCCGAGGAGGCTAAATCTGGTGAATAGCGTGCATGAGGTAGCAATTCAAACTTTAATTCGTTAATTTTGGCCATTGCAAAAACGGACTTGTGAGCTGGTGCATTGTCTTGATGAAACAACACTTTCTTCTTAACCAAATGCGGCCGTTTTTGCTTGATTTCATCGCAAATGTTGCAATAAGTTCGCATAATACTCGCCGTTGATAGTTTTACCTTTTTCAAGATAGTCAATGAAAATTATCCCACGCGAATCCCAAAAAACCGACGCCATAACCAAGCCTGCAGATGAAATGGTCTTCGCCTTCTTTGGAGCCGGTTGTCCCTTTTGAGTCCATTGTTTTGATTGTTCTGTTGTCTCGGGTGTGAAGTGATGGACCCATGTTTCATCCACAGTTATGAAACGACGCAAAAATTCTGCTTTGTTGCTGTGAAACTTCGCTAAACACTCAATAGAAACATCTTCACGACACTGTTTTTGCTCGATTGTCAGCAATCGCGGCACCCATCTTGCACACAGCTTTCCCATGTCCAAATTTTCAGATAATATGCGATAAACCGCACTTTTTGAAACGCCTACTATGTCTGCTAGCTCGCGCACTTTCAGTCGACGATCATTCAGTACCGCTTTGTGAATTTTCTTCACCATTTCTGGAGTCGTCACCTCATTTGGTCGACCACTGCGATGCTCGTCTTGGCAGCTCATACAGCCTCGTTTAAACTCTGCTACCCAATATTTTACTGTTGTTACTCTGAAATAAAAGTATTGTACCACATGACGATGACCAATTTTCTCCATTTTCACAAATTCACTGAAAACATTCAGTATTGATGGCTGCCAAACAAATACTACTTCAAACTTGACACATACGCTTTATAGGTTGCATACGTTCTAATACAATGATATTTTTCAAACAACTATCGCGATCTGTAGGTCAGGCCGGGTACTTCTGGGACCACCCTCGTATTTGGAGTAGAAATACTGGCGTCAAGTAGGTTGACTCTGCACTTCCCACGCAACACTGACATTAGTTCATAAATGCTAATGGCTAATAGGTGCGTAGAATTACCGGGGTTGGGAGCATATACAACCCCTTGCAACCCTCAACTCAAATTTTCAACCCCTACAATCTTTTTTTGAAAATGATGAGCCACTAAAACGTCATTAAACGAAGTTTGAGCGATTTTTGTTTTCATGTTTTTACCCGTAGCTCCGCTGCCGATTTTAAAAAACTACAAACTTTTTCGAATTTGAATATTGATAACATAAACCTTGTATTAGTGCGGGAGATAAAGGTAGACTTTAATTATATTATCTGTTCCACAATTTTAATTCAGGTACATGAAATAGTTTATAATAATGTTAATATTTGTTTCCAAACTTTTGTCCGCTTCTGTATATTGAAGGCCATTCATGACCTCAACTGGATGAAAATTGATAAAATGTATAAATACCAGCTCCTAAGTTTGACACGTAATTAATATTTGATATAGGGAGACTTTTCAGTCCCACGCCACGCTTCAATTGCAGAACACATATATTTACAACAATGCAATCAAATCATATAATTGCTTAGATCGCACTTTCAAAGAAAGTAATTCATTGCCCAAATTAAAAAAAAAGTGAAAGAAATTCTATTTTATCAGCAGCAAAATCTTTTGTAACATACAAGTGTCAACTGACCTTACGTTTTCTTTATGTCTTCACATAAATTATGCTTTATTATTGTAGTTATAATTTTTAACCATTTTTTTACACATCTCATATTGCTAAGGTGGTAGAATAGATACAGTATCAAAATCTCTCCTCCTGTAATGGTATTATAAATAAAAAAGACGTTAATTACACTGGACAACAAATTTTAGTTTTTTAATTGTATCTTGTGGGAAAAGTGCACTTCTTTGTTAATTTTGGGGCGCTGAATCCAAAAATGACAATGAAATAAAAAAATTAGTTGCGGTTTAGAAAAAAAACTTTTTATTTTTAAGGATATATTAAAAAAAGTAACAAGATTCATATACTTATAAGAATCACTATATGCGCTGTCTTTTTGCTGTTTTTTTATGGATCGTTTCTGGAGCATCTCTACCAAGAGTCCAACAGTAGTCTGCAAGCATGGAAGGATTCCACTTTCCCTGGTACCTTTTTACCATTGTTGAAATATCCTGATGAAAACGTTCGCCGTGCTCATCACTTACGGCTCCGCAATTGTCAGGAAAAAAGTCCAGGTGTGAGTGTAGGAAATGTATCTTAGGAGACATATTACAGCCCATCTTTTGATACGATGACAGCATATTTTTGACAAGGGTTTTATAGTTTTCAGCTTTTCTATTTCCCAAGAAATTAGTGACCACCAGACGGAAATCATTCCAAGCAGTTTTTTCAATACCTGTTAAAGTGTTTTCAAACTGTGTATCTTTCAAAATATTTCGAATCTGTGGCCCAACAAAAATACCTTCTTTAACCTTTGCCTCACTTAGTCTTGGACATTTCTGACGCAGGTATTGAAAAGCGGACCCATCTCTATCTAATGCCTTGACAAAGTTTTTCATTAGGCCCAACTTGATATGCAGTGGTGGTAATAAATTTTTTTTCGAATCTACTAATGGCATATGCTGTACATTTTTTTGACCTGGCTCTAGGAATTGACGAACAGGCCAGTTTTGTCTGGTGGCTTTGCCCGACTGTCCCATTCACACAAAAAACAGCAAAACTTTGTGTAGCCTAGCTGCAGCCCAAGTAAAAGTGCAACAACTTTCGAATCGCCACAAATATGCCATTGGTGCTCATCGTATTTTATGCATGTCAATAGGTACTTCATATTGTCATATGATTCTTTCATGTGAACTGCATACCCTACAGGAAGAGATGGTAAAATATTTCCAATATGCAATAACACTGCCTTTAAACTCAATGTTGAACTGTCTATAAACAATCTCCATTCTTCTGGGTTATAGTTTATATTTAAAGCCGCCAGTAAGCCGTTAATGTTACTGCAGAAAACCAAGTTATTCTCCATATTGAATAATGGTTCTAAGTCTTTGAGGCGTTTACGAAAAACACATACCGAAACATCGTCTTCTAACAAGTTCCACTGCTGCAGTCTTGATCCAAGTAACTCTGCCTTACATTTTGGAAGTTCTAAATCTCTTACAAGATCATTTAATTCTGACTGTGTTATTTTGTGCGGTTGGTGGCATGACGTGCTCGGTATAAAATCAGGATCTCTTGACGTTGATGGCATATCTCCTTCCTGACGAATCACTCGATCGTCATGATCTGATTCGTTTTCTGATTCGCAAGTGTAGGATTCTGTGGGTTTTGGAATAGGATTTTCGTCACTGTGAGGCACAGGTCTCATCGCAGATGGTATTTTGGGGTAGTTAATAACAGATTTTTTTTTCTTGGACATACCTGTGGCTTGTCCAACACAAGGTACCATGCAAAAGTAACAATCATTAATATGATTTGTAGGCTCTCTCCAAACCATTGGGACAGCAAAGCGCATAGACCGTTTTTTGCCATTTAACCAGCTCCTCAGACTTGAAGCACATGTATTACAGCAGATGTGGGGTGCCCACTGTTTGTCTTGATCACCGAGTTTACAACCGAAGTAAAGCTGATATGCCTTTGTTATTAGTGGAGTAATAGACCGTCTCTGAGACGCAAAAGTCACATCACCACACACGTAACAAAACTGATCTGGATTGTTTACACACTTTCGAGACATCTTGCATGAACGCTGTCAGCCAACTGAGGAAAAAATGGCTAATATAAAACAATATAATGTACACGTATGTATAACGTAACACAATCATGCCGATTACATCATCTTTCCTTGCCGAATATAAAAATGTAGCACGTGCATTCTTGTGAATTACAGTATATTAACACTGTCACAGCAGGAACACAATTACCGTAACTTGAACTAATATTGAAAAAATAAGTTTCATTCCGGTTTTAGCACATTAAAAATAGTAATATTTTGTTGATTTTATTTAGGATATTTTTTGGCTGTTGATCAGTGTTATTTTATTATTAAATATAATGACACAAATGGATTGTAGGAACTTACTAAATTATATATGTATTTTTTTTGTATCTTCATCAACTCGTTGATATGAAATTGAAATGACCGAGGTCTTGGCGTGATTGGGGTATTCCCGACATTGGAATCAGTGATCCTGAAAATCTTAGCCCACAATTATCAATACTTGATAATAAAATAAAATAAAGTTTACATTCTATATGCTTTAATGATTAATTAACTGAAAACTGCATAAGAGTCTTATCCTTAGCTTAGTTTCTCCTTCATATAATCAAAAACCATATTTGTCACACCCCAGCCTAACAATGATCTCTGACTATTCAATACCACTCCCTTGTAGAAACCACCAACACCCTTTGCCTTATAAATACTTATCATGACCTCCTTCGTAGACAAAAAACGTCCCCCAATTTCCTTTTGTATACTGATTTGTAGTATCTTCCAAGGATATAATATGGTGGTCATAAACATGCCTA